TTAGCAAGCATGGTCAAGCAGTAGAAGTATAAATGTATGGGCTCCGTGCGCAAACCGAAGAGGGCGCTTTTTTACCACTTTTGAAAGCCCCGTGAACGGGACAACCCGCTTGTGCATACTTGTTTGCGAGCATAAAGCGCAAAGTACACACATTTTATTCTGAAGGTGCACAATGCCACAGCGTCTTCGAGTGAGCGTTGGGTGTTGTCAGCAATGCGTTTGAATGTCTCTTCAAGTGGTCTCCCCCAACTCCCCCTTTCTTACCACTGAGGGGGTACTTGTGGACGGAGCCCATAGATGAATCAAATCCAGCCCGTTGGGAATTTTGGCACTTGGATCCAAGAAACTTTGAGCGTATACCATATGTGAGCTTGAATACAGCAAGGTATTCTTAGAATTGCCAAAGTGGAAGTTCCCAAGAATGGATTTGATTCATCTTATTGGTAGTATCCTCTATAACCACAGTCGGTTGGCCATGGACTGGCTGCACAAGGGGAGCCAAATCCAAATGCTGTACTTTTTTCCGAGTACCGAATACTGACGAGTACTTAGGTTACCAAGTACGAGTACTCGTACCTTTATTTCCGAGTACCAGGACAGGTCTCCGAGTAAGAGTACTTCCGAGTACGAGTACTTGTATTCCGAGTACGAATTCCGAGTACGAGTACTTCTTTTTTTCGAATACGGCCATACGGCAAATGGTTCATTGTGCGTAATTGGCCCAGGCCCAGTCAGACCGATATACAGACCCACTCACGGCTAGCTGTTTAACATGTTTGTCCAGACGTGCACAGAGGAAAATCAGTAAACTTCAATTTCTCTGCAAGCCAGTCAACCATTTCAAACTAAAAGTATTGATAAAATAAGGCTGTGGTAGGTCAAGCTACGGTGTACCATTTTTTTCGAGTACTGCTATTCGAGTACGAGTACTTTGATGATCGAGTACAATTTTGACAAGACGAGTACGAGTACTTTGTTACCCGAGTACGCGTACTGTCATTTCGAGTACGAGTACTTTGATTTTGACATTCGAGAAAAGTACTCGAGTACGAGTACTACAATACTGTCCAAATATTGTCTTGGACCAGGACAATGTAGTCAAAACTGAGAGTTATCAGTAGAACACCAATAGCCTCCTGCAAGAACACAATCTGGCTCCAAGTGAAACATCACTGCAGAGTCAATGGAGAGATGTACAAGCTGCTTTCATCACTACGACAAGCATAAATTTGGTAGACAAAAAATTGAGACTATGGTTTTCACAACTTTAATGTTTTATTTCATTTTAATAAAAACTTACTGGTGCATAGGCCTTCATGTATGACTGAAACTGAAATTAGGGATGGCTACTGATTCCTTTGGGAATGCTTTGAGAGGGTAGCAAAATGACTCAACTCAAAATTCATGGTTTTCATCCCAGTTGGTTTCAAAAATAAGAAACATCTTAGGGGAGTGGTGGAGGCTGCCAACATGAGTTTCAAGGTCTTAAAAAAAAAACTAACATCTTACAAAAAATTCAGGAAAACATCCAAACAAGCTTGGGATCTTGAGCTAGATAAAAAAAAAAAGAGATGTGCATTGTGCACTGCACAGGTTTGACTATTTACTAATCGACAGTGATTTGGTGAGCATTTTTGTTTTGAACATCCTGGTTTTCATTTAAAAACTAATACCCAAGGACAGCATGCAACAAAAAAAATTGTCTCAAACTCAAACACATTTTCTTGGCACGATTCCAAACTGGATCAAATGCTAATACCTGATATAACACCATGTTTTCTAAAATATATCCCACAAGCCTGTCCACCCCTCTCTAGATCTACAATCATATTCCTACCTCCGTGCTATAATGGGGCTGTCTGGTATGGCAATCCCTGGAAATTAAAAACCTAAATCAAAACCATTGTGTGAAGAACAATGGCCCAAGCTGACAGGGACAATGGGCGCATACCTCCTGCCTGTTTGCTTGCCTTTCAGCTTGGGAGGGAACAATGTGGTAGCACCTGTCTTGCTATAAGCCAATTGGTTTGTCCCTGGGAGGGTAGGAAGTGAAGGGAACAATAGGTGCACTCAGTAACTCCATGACAACCATCTGCTGAGCGCATCAGCGGGGTATTGTTTGGCAGTCAGTGAATAAACAATGTACAATCTGGAGAGGAATAGTATGGATTGGCACACGGCTAAATGTACTGTGTGTGAATTTCAGATATTTCTGATGGACTGACTTTGCACGTACACAATATGCAATATTTGGAACCATTTTAATCAGGCCAAGTACAAAAATAAACCAGTTTCTCGTCCCGCCCACATCCCTTTTTCCAACCCATCTCCCTTTTTCTTCTTATTTTTAATGCAATAAACATTAATGTGCACAAACTTACATTGTCTTTTTATTTGTTCCTGGACAACAACAATTTAGCTATGTAATGTTGTGCCGGCTCCACTGGATACAATTTTTATATCACCAAAAGAGTCGAGCAAATGGAAGAATTCATGATCCGCCATCTTGGAAAATCTGACATCTTGGGGAAAATTCATGATAAGAATATTCATAAGCTAGAAAGTACGTAAATTTATCTAGACTAAGAAGAGCTTTACTACTAGTACTTTAAGGCAACTGTTGAGTTAAGAATTGAAAAAAAAAATTGACATTAGACTGTACTGATGATAAATAAATGCTACAAATATTGGTAAATTATAAATTTTGTATTAAAATCATTAAACGGGGAAAATGGAAAATATTTTAAAAATGAATAATAAGTACACCCCAGTAGAACATTGTAAATTACTTGGAAAACGTCCATAATATGCTTTTTATGAACTTGAATTTAAAGACACGGATACACAAAGTGCAATTAATGATTTGACTTTTTAAACAACTTCAAACAGCAAAGTGCTATAAAACAGAACTTACCTACAGTACACATTAAAAAAAACAAAAAAAACATTTAAATGAATTTTTAACCACAATTCGTTTTTAACCACAATTCCCCCCCCCCCCCCCCCCCCCCCCCCCCCCCCCCGCCTATAAAAAGTATTCTTAAGTCTAGAAGCTTAAACTACAAAAAAAAGCTTGGCATTAATCAATTAGAAAAATATCTAATTAGGATTGATATTAATGACTTCCTGTAGGCCTACATGTGGGCTGCCAACATGCTCATTATGGTCATCAGCTTGACACAGGCGGACTTGCTTGTTACAGAGGCATGAAATTTTGAAAATCAAATCAAGACAATCCAAGCCTAGTATTTATTTACTAGTAGTATTACTAGTATTACTTTTATTTAACTACTAGTAAAGTTGGTCCCAAACAAGTAGGGCACAAATCCAGCGTATTTATCCTAACTGATTCAGAGCTCATTCATTGGCGTTACGGGCAAGGCCAAACAAATGAAAGTTCTGCTTCCGGTTACCCTACCTACTCTATTCGACAGCCCCTACCCTATTTTTTTTGGGGGGGGGGGGCCGAGGGGGGGGGGGGAATAGGGAAAAAAAGAAACGAAACCATCAATTACTAATTTTTACCCTTGACTACAGGCAGACACCTCCATATATCGTACAAAAAATGCCCCTGCCTACATTGTACATGTACCTACCCTATTTTCAAATGCCATGTAAATCGGACGCAGAACTGTGGCGGTTTTTTTTGGGGGGGCGTAATCCTTTATTACTATATTAGGCTTGGTTCTCTTCATCAATCTACAGTTCAAGCAGCCTACCGGTACGTCACAACTAAAACAAAGCTACCAGTAGTCGGTCAGTCAGGGAGGTACAAAGAGGACAATGTCCCGGCCCTCTGGGACCAGCAAACATGTCCAAATATTAAACAGGTTGCACATTCTTTCAACGTTATTAGCATATGATTGTATGTCACAACTACAATTAAGTACAAGTTCAAGTCCATATGATTGAATGTACAGTATTCAAGATACATGCAATTAGTAGCATGAATACTAACATTGGATTCCATCACGTTTATGATAAGAAATATTTACTGGTAAATACCCTTTTTGAATCAAATACATGCAATTGCTCTTCAACAAAATTAAAGTGTTTCTCTCTCTCTTTCTCTCTCTATTTTATGCTCCAAATTTCCAATTTGCATGTGTTTTATTTATTTAAACAATACAAAAACAAATAGACTAAAATGCTTACTATAATACTAATAGTAATACTATATTTTGAGCCTTCCAATTTTTTAAGAATAGGCCTACAGTTTGAAAATGACTATGAGACACAATTTCAACACAGTCCATATAATGTTTATTGCCTGAAATGCAAAAGGAAACTATTAAATGGAAACGGATTAAGACAATACACAATTTGGGGTTTAAAATGAATCAGATTAATGCGTTCCTCTTATTTTGAGCTTCACCTTGAACAATAGAATTTGGTTTTTCAATTTCAAATGCTATTTGCCTAGCAATACATCAAATGAAAAAAAATCCACCAATGTGAAATGAAATTGAATTTAATATATTTCTTCACAAAAATTCAAACTATTGTCTGCAACTGAACGACATAATTCAGCTTAAAGGGCAAGTTCATTTCTGCACAAAATAAAAGCAGTCTTTCAGTTTCAGAGTGTTGCAGATGCCCACAATTTGAGTAAATTAGTATTTCGTTAAAACAAAACATACAAATTGAAATTGAAAATTTATTTGCAGGAAAAAACTTTACGAGCTCGGGGTATGCAAATTTCAACTTTACGTGGTTGTAAAATAGTCTTCAGTGTCTGCAAATGGTGAACTGAAAATAATGCAAGTTACAATGTATGTAGAGCCTCCAGTGCAGGGCAGTGCAGAGCAAGGAACAGACAACACACATTTTGCATTAACTTCATAACTTGATGCACACTTCAAAACAAAATTCAACATAACCAAAACGTATGGGGAGAACAGAAGTAAGCATGGGGGTTCCACCTGAAACAGAAAAGTCAGTCACAAACAGTATGATGGTCATGTCATATTCACAAAAGTTCAATAAAAAAAAAAACTTACCGTACACCAGTACCATGTGCCTTTACACTTATCAATCAACAGACCAATGCCAGCAATTTCCCCCTTTCAAACAGAACGGTAGTACTGCACCTGGCTGCAAACGTGTGTCTTTTGAAAAGCTTTGTTTGACGAACAACAGACGATCACAATACATCTGACAATGGCTTTTGTTCAGCCACCGGGCACTGTTCACGCGCTAGCCGGCCAAAGCTTCACAGCTCCCCGTCACGCTTACCGCATGGCCCAGTACTCGTGCTAGGAAAAATCTCGCACAATTCGAAATATGGATTGAAAAAAAATCGTCAACTGTTCGTGGAAGACAAAATGAAAGAGACGTTTTGTCGACCTCTACACGTCAGCACTTTCAGTTACATGACAAAATGTACCAAATGAGAACGCACCTAATAGAAAAGAGATTAGATTTTCAAGATAACAATACGGAGTGTCACTTTTCGTGGATAGAGTGTAGAGGCCGCCATGTTGAATTCCTTGCATTATTCTCGTGTGGATCATGGAAAACATTAAACCAACACATGCCAGCTGCAAAATGAATTAACATAAGTGAAAGGCATTTTCTTGTGGCGGCGTAAATTGCAACTTCCAGGAACTTCTGAGAGTTCTGCTTTTGAAAAGCACAACTCTAAGAAATTTGACAGAAACTACATTTAACAGCGAACGTCACAATTTCCAGAAATTTAACCTCAAATCATGCATTGTGCATATATATGTGGAAAATACTGCTAAATACAAAGCGCCCTCTGTTGTATTAATTCAAACACGCGGCAGTCAAAAAAATAAATACAACTAACTGGACTCTGTTCAATTTATCCCCGTTTCGTACGGCATCAACACATCAATTAGTGAGCCAAATCTGATATCCCTTTCTATGTATACGACTCGTAATACACTGTAATGTGAGGAAATTACAGGACACAACATTCAACCATGGAGGAAGGAAAATCAACAGACAGGCACGATAGTAGAGGGAGGGGCCATGAAGCTAGCCTACCTTCCCCCTCCCCCCCCCCCCCCAAAAAAAATAATAATAATAATAATAATAATGATAACTCTTTTCGCAGCAATAGGGTGACTTTCCCATAGACTTGTGCACAAACCTAAACTGTCACCTTACCCAAGTTCACCTTATGTTTTTCCACGAAATTTAGTAGTTATAAATACTAATTGGACCATGAGGAATCGATCTATATGGTTAGCGACAGCAAAATTCCTTGTCCTAAGGGTCGTTTTCATAAAAGGGCGACAGTTATTTTGTCGCCTCAATAAGGTGTATCGCCCTATTGTGGACGGAGTTCGCAAAACCTGTCGCCCTATTACAGTAATAGTAGTAATATTACTAACCACAACAGTATGACATCTGCGCTAGAAAGCAGGAGGTCGTGGGTTCGAGTCCCACCCGAGTGATTTTTCCAACTTTCACTTGGGACTGAGGTATAACACACTGAGTATATGTGTTTAAACGTCGGTGAAGGGCAAAACAAATCACCCCGACGCAAAATTCCATCTTATAATAGTATATGCGGTACCCGCTGCTATGTACATGATTCGAATCGCAGCCAACCGATCCCGTTAGTCGAGTGGTAAGACATCTGCACTAGAAAGCAGGAGGTCGTGGGTTCGAGTCCCTCCCGAGTGATTTTTTCCAACTTTCACTCGGGAGGTAACTGATGTTTAAACGTCGGTGAAGGGCAAAACATATCACCCCGAAAATTCCATCTTATAATAGTTTATGCAGTACCCGCTGCTATGTACATCAGATTCGAACCAACCAGCCAACCGATCCCTTTAGCTCGGTGGTCAAGTGGTGACATGGTCTGCACTAGAAAGCAGGAGGTCGTGGGTTCGAGTCCCACCCGAGTGATTTGTTTCCAACTTTCACTCGGGAGGTAACACACCGAGTATAAAACCACAATAGGTCGACACTTCCATAGACCGTGCACAAAACTTACCCTAGCCCTAACCCAAACAGTAGCCCTCGTCAAAATGGCGGTTTTAAGAATAAGGTGTGTCGCCCTATTGTAGTAAAATATAATAATAAAAAAAAAAAAAGTCGCCCTCAAAAAATATATTTCATATTAAAAAAAATATGTAGCACCAAAAATGATTAATGGCTGGAAAGCCAATTTCATAATCATCATCATAATCATTTTCATAATCATAACCATATAAACACCCCAAGTTATCGTGGTCGACTTATCAGCCATGTTTTTATCGTGACCATTTTTTTAGGCAACTGCACAATGATCTACCATTATAATTAAAAATGAGTGGAACAAAATCGAGTTTGTTTCCTTTTTTTTTTTTTATTTAAGCCTAAATTTCTCTTTCATTGTTTTCATGATTCCACATCTCATGTAGCCTATATTGTACACAAGATGCACTATAAAATCGTCATCGCTTGCACGCGCATCTAGCTCTGGCTGATAATTAACGAAGACAACTCACGACGACATGGTGTGAAAGAAATTACAACCAAACATTTAAGTAAGTTACCTGCCAGAGCATATTAAAAATAGGAAATTACGATCCCAATTCTGAAAAGAACGCAGTAGGATTGTCCCCACTGATCCCCACCCCTTACTTATTCCTCATATTCCATGTTGTGACAGGGCGACAATGTTTAATTCACAACGACACTGCCTTTAATGTCGTTAGGAACGGGTGCATATCCTCAGTGCATAGGTGCAAAGGTAAAATCTTAAGACAGGTGCATAACAACTAACCTGTTTTAAGTTTTAGCTTGGTGATGACAACATAACATTTCACCTACATTTTGAGAAAACAGAGAAAACAGAGAAAACATATGCCTACATGCTTTCTTTTTAGGAGGGGGAGAGGAGGCCCTGGTGACTGGATTCCGTTGCCAACAACGCATCATGTAAAAAAAAGAGAAGAAGATGCCTGCGCCGCGGCGAGCACGTTTTAAAACCACCTTCTGTCAATCAGGTTTCATTCGATCGCAATTTGTCGCAGAATAATTTCACAGGGTATTTTGGACCAGCCCTAGCTAGATGTCCCTTTATTACATGTACATGTAGGCCTATGTTTATAATGCCTTCAAATACTTGTTTCCCCTTGTTTTTGGTAACCTTTGGAACCTTGCAATTGCATAACACAAAGGAAGGCAGGTTTTCACACTACATGTAACATGAGGAAGTTAGATAACTTGATCAAAGATCGTTGGACAGTATTTCTGCAGTATCCATCCTGAGATGATGAATTTGGCAAGGTCCGATGAATCTTATCGACTAGATAATCCGGTGACCACGATGATGTAAAGACATAACATAGGTGGACCACACTCCTTCTTTTTGAGCATGACTGTGTCACAGCAGCATCTTATTTTTTTAGGATTTCTTTTGACGATGAATGATGAACCCCGCCAGAATGAGCCTCTTCTTCGTCCGGCAAAAAAAGTTTTAGCCCGGGCGGGAGGGGTCGTTCATTGGCAGTCCATCTGGAATGAGGGCGCTCGTATAAATTGCTCCGCAAAGCTAGCCGGCTACGCGCCTAGCATTGCTAGTTTCCGAGCGGGTTAGCCAGATAGTATAGCGTTTTCTGCAGGATATTGGGCTTCTTTTGGGCTACTCTCCACTGAATTCCATTCTTTCCAAGATGTCAGCCCACTTCGAGAGGACGTGTTCGGTGATTTCCAACGGTGTCGTGCCGGTAAACAAGTACAAATCGACCCGCACGGGTTTGCAGGTTTTTATCGCACAAGTTGAGGGTCCACTTGTCAATGGCTTCTTCTGTCTTGGTAAGATTTTGGCTGGGAATCCGGGAAACTGATAATTTAAGTCTGGTTGCAATGGACGCTGTTTCATTTTTCGTTGAGTAAAATAAGAGCTTTGTCCGTCTATTTCCGACACCCATTGTGTCGCAAATTTGGTGGCCTTTGGCTCTTCTTTTAGGTGATTTTTTTTTTCTGGCTCGTATTGAACCTGGGTTTACTTTCAAGATGTCAGGCTGGCGTTTTAGTTTTAGAAATTGAAAACTTTTTGAATGTTTGAAATCGGACATGTCAGATGACCAGAACAGAAGTTGAAGTAGGCCTAAGTAAGTTAGGCCTACTTCTGCAGTTCTAACTAAGTTAGGCCTTAACTTAGTTAGAACTGCAGAAGTAGAGAACCCTACATGTACCTAGCTTGAGTAACTCCAGCTAACATGCTCATATTCATTCACATGTAGTGCTGGAGACATAAACAGGGCTTGAGAGTGTGGTCTTAACCCTAACCCTGCCAGATGCAACACAGTGCATCAGGTGGAAAAGAACTGGTGCACTCTGATGCATTCAGCTACCAACACCAGTGCATGAATGGCCAGCTCTGAAACAATGAGAGCTAGTCCCATTGAACAATGCCACAGTTGTATCCTGCTGCATGCTGTGACCACAGACTCTGAGGCAGTGTGGCCTTGAGACTTTTCCCCTGATGGATCTTGCTACACTGGGCAGGCTTGTCACTTAGACAAGTGTTGCATGTTGCTGCGTTTGGCAGGGTTTCTAGCCAAAATACCCTGGAGGGTTAGGGTTAAGAGACCCTTCCAGAATGGCCTCCCCAAAATTGTCCTTTTTCACCTCTATTATCCCACCCCAGATTCCATTTGCATCATACCTCATACATTCAGCAGTCATTCACTAGGTTAATGATCGACTTGAAACAGACCCCCAAAAAAGTAACATATGAAAAATGTTGATGATTTTGTTGGCTTGTCCATTAAATACGTCCTGTATCACTGCCAGGTTGTCCATGGTGTTTGGTTAATTTTGCGCATCCCCTTCCACTCAGTGCTCTGATTGTATGTTTGCTGAAAGAAAACCTCTATGGAATCAGTGCAGTGAGGGCTTGGATGTGGATGTTCTAATTATGACACCTCTATGCAATTGCAATGTTGCTGGGAGGGATGCTCTAAGAGAACCCCTATACAACCAGTGCAGTGTTGGTGGGTTGCTCTAAGAGATCCCCAGGGATGCTCTGAGAGAACCCCAGGGATGCTCTGAGAGAACCCCGGGGATGCTCTAAGAGAACCCCTGTGATGCTCAACGAGAACCCCAGGGATGCTCTAAGAGAACCATATGGGATGCTCTAAGAGAGCCCCAGGAATGCTGTAAGAGAACCCTGGGGATGCTCTAAGAGAACCCCGGGGATGCTGTAAGAGAACCCCTGGCATGCACTAAGAGAACCCTGGGGATGCTCTAAGAGAACCCCATGGGATGTTCTAAGAGAACCTCGAGGATGCTCTAAGAGAACCCCATGGGATGCTCTAAGAGAATCCCATGAGATGCTCTAAGAGAACCCCATGTGATGTTCCAAGAGAACCCCCGTGGGATGCTCTAAGAGAACCCCATGGGATGCCCTAAGAGAACCCCAGGGATGCTCTAAGAGAAACTCCCAGGGATGCTCTAATGCTCTGAGAGAACCCCTATACAACCAGTGCAGTGTTGGTGGGTTGCTCTAAGAGATCCCCAGGGATGCTCTGAGAGAACCACAGGGATGCTCTAAGAGAACCCCTGTGATGCTCAACGAGAACCCCAGGGATGCTCTAAGAGAACCCCATTGGATGCTCTAAGAGAACCCCAGGAATGCGCTAAGAGAACCCTGGAGATGCTCTAAGAGAACCCTGGGGATGCTGTAAGTGAACCCCGGGCATGCTGTAAGAGAACCCCGGGGATGCTCTAAGAGAACCCCATCGGATGCTCTAAGAGAACCCCATGGGATGCTCTAAGAGAACCCCATGGGATGCTCTAAAAGAATCCCATGGGATTTTCTAAGAGAACCCCAGGGATGCTCTAAGAGAACCCCAGGGATGCTCTAAGAGAACCCCAGGGATGCTCTAAGAGAACCCTAGGGATGCTCTAAGAGAACCCCATGGGATGCTCTAAGGGAACCCAAATACTGAAATGTGTAATACATATTTCTTGCGAATTTTGGTTTCATGAAATTTCAATACAGGGATTTTTTCTTTTTGTTTTTAAATATCTGTGCAACCATTCACCATGTGTTACGGCACACATTGCACACTATGTGGGCTGTAAGAAAATGTACGACACCTACACACACCCACACACATAGCCGTGCCAAAGCCACAAATTCTCACTCAATTTTTGTGAAATGCGACAGTCAGGGTTATTGAAAAAATGGAATCCATCATGTTGGAAAATCTCAGAAAAAGGGGGGGGGGGTTTGCCCCTTTCATTTTTCAAGAAGCCTAATGAGAAACTTTGTTCCCTTTCTTTTCTATTTTAATCAGCCTTGTCAGATAGGCCTTGCCGTAGGCCTGAAGGCCTATTTTTTTTTTTCATTTCTCCACTGCCTGTAACTTTAAGATGTGTCTAAAGTCATGTTTCCTATACCAGGGGAAAATATTGCAGTGATATTGCAGTTTGTCATTATAAGCCACATTAATGTGATGGAGTCCCTTTGATGGCAACTCAAAACTTGCTTTGTCGCTAGGTCTCTTTAAATTGATGTTATGACAAAGTGCAATATCACAACAATTTCCAGATTTCCACAGGCAGATGTAAAATTCATTTGATTGTGTTACCCCCATCATAGCTACTGAGGCCCATGATGATGATGGCCTTCCTCATACATTGGAACACCTTATTTTCCTTGGGAGCGAGCAATACCCATTCAAGGTAAATGGCAAATATTTGATATTGTATCTGTATTCAGGAGCTAAGTGCTGCCACACAAATGTTATTTGTATAACTTTGTTGTGAATTTATTTATTTATTATTATTATAATTTTTTTTTTTTATAAAACTGTACAACAAGAGCACATGGTGTATCTATCTATTATATGTTCTATAGTGAATGTTGTATGTGACACTTAGCTTGTCTTGAACGGGTCACAACTGTGGCAATTTTCAGGGAACAAAGTTAAAAGTTTTTTAAAGCAATAAGAAGCTGATAATTTTACTCTAATTTCAAACAAATCTGAACAGGAACAACATATGCCATGGTGAACCACTCTTTCAAAGTCTTTAACCTCTGTCCAGGGTGTCTTAGATATGCTCGCCAACCGGTGCCTTGCTCAGGGTACCAATGCCTGGACAGACACCGACCACACCTGCTACACAGTCATGACAGCAGGGAGCCAGGGATTTCTGAACTTGCTACCGATTTACTTGGACCACGTTCTCTACCCAACTCTCACCGTGAGTAAAGTAGTTTTCCCTTTTTCTTCCTGAAAAAAACATCTTTATAGCCAAAATAGAAATAATAGACAGAGGTACTTTATTGATATTTATTTTGGCTTACAGGAGGCTGGGTATGTGACGGAGGTTCACCATGTGAATGGTGAAGGAGAGAACGCAGGTGTTGTCTACTGTGAGATGCAAGGCAGGGAGAACAGCGGAGAAAGCCTGTCGCATCTAGCCATGCTACGAGCCATGTACCCCGGCCGCTGCGGCTACAAGGTGGGTGTTGCACCTAGTTCATCAACAACCAGTTTTTATTGATATGGTGTCGTGGTCTTGGTCCAAGACTGGATTTTGATTGTGCCCAGTCAAGTGCGAGAGGGCGCTATCAACAAGACATGTCATGGGCATTATATTTCTATGCCAAAACCTCAATACTGGTTACTGTCAAAGCTGACCTTCAAGTCTGGAAGAAATCTTTCGAAAACTTCCCCAAATGTATGTATTTATCCCAGTTTCTAGGAATTTATCCCAGTTGTTATTTCACGAGTAGTTGGAACACTTATATCATCTCAGTATATTCCGAATTTCAAATTAATCTGTTGTTGCGGACGTTAGTATTACAACGTGAACCATCTCCAAGGAAAATTTCGAAGAGGATCAAAACAATTATTTGCTGACCCAACCCATGTGCAGTGTTCAGCAAAGCGCCGTAGGCGATACGGCTGACCGATTTCAGCCCAGCACACAATGATGACGGGCATATAAGCATATTCATTAGCGTCACTCGGCGTGACATGGCGTGGGTCACGGTATCGACTATCGTGGGTTAGATTATGGTCCAATTGTAGTTAACCATAGTTCACTGTCAAACTTGAAATTTAAATCAGTTACTGGCCTGTTCAGTTAATCAGCAGCTTGCCTCGATGCACCTTGAAGGTGGTGGTGAGTAAAGTTGGTGATGGTTTAGTCTTTGGAAAAACTTTTTCTTTGTGTTTTATGTTTTCTATGTGTTTTTTTTTATATATTATTTTAAGTCTGAAACAGGTGGCATCATGAGCAACTTGCGGACCAGCACCTCCAACACTAAAGTGAGGCAGTACCACAAGGATTTCTACCGACCAGACAATCTCTGTCTAATCATCACTGGCCAAGTTACTCCAGAGGAGGTGTTTCAGGCGTTGGAGCCGTTTGAGGAGAGAATTATCGCTAAGGTAACGGAAACACTAAAAACAAGACACTTTGCTTTAATACATGTAGTATGGCGCGCAGTGGTAAAAATGATTTTGGTGTGGAGCTCATTTGCAGAGTTGTATTCGAGTACTTTCCCAGTACTTTGTTTATTACCAAGTATTGAGCTGTTTCTTGTGAATAACGCGAGAGAAACATTGACAGTAGACAGCAAAATAAAGTCAGTGTTAGAGAAAAAAAATCAATTTGAGACTTTGGTTACATGAAACCCCTTTTTAGTTAACGTTTTCAGACAGAAGTACCCTAAATGTACTTGAAAAGTACTCGGCGAGTACTTTTCGAATACTTTTGTTCTAAAAAGGTTAGTTCAATCAAGATTCTGATTGTCTAAAGTGTTCAATTCCTTTTGGTGGGGATTTACTGTCCATTGTCTGCATTATGCAGCTTTCTCCATACCAAACCATCTTAATCTCTGGGAGCTAAGCTGGTACTCGGAAAGTACTCGACTACAACTCTGCTCATTTGTAATATCAACCCTGATGAGAGCATGGTGCTTATGTTTGTATGCAAGACATTTGTAGGTGTGAGGCCAGAGACCAAATTCTGCTGAACTAAAAAATCTGCAGAAAACAGGTACTGTTTTGCATTCAGCAGGGTAAGAGCTTCAAAAAGTCCACATAAATTATGTGTTTTGTATTTTGGTTTCACCAGGGTGATTTGCCGCCTTATGTACGCCCCTGGCAGGGCCCAGTACCACCCCTGACCGAGAGTGTTGTTCAGACCGTCCCTTACCCATCAGATGATGAGGCTAATGGAATGGTCTACATGGCATGGCGGGCTCCGAAAGCAAAGGCAAGTGTCTTACCTAAATGGAATTTGTGTCGGTGTGATGTAAATTCAAAATTGTGTTTTGTCTTTCACCGACATATTTTTATAAACAAGTTATACCCAGTGTTGTCCCGAGTGCTTGTGAGGGAACAAAAACTTTTGGCCAGTGGTGTGTTGGGAGGGGGGAGCCCCATATAGTGCCCCCAAAATTTGATTTAATCATAATCTTGAGTGACCAAGGTGACCACGGTTCGAATCCTGGCCGCGGATCACATGTGAGTAGAGTTGTGTGTTGGTTCTCTCCTGTGCCACGAGGGTTTTTCTCCGGGCCCTCCGGTTTTCCTCCCTCCGGAAATATCGAACACTTTCGATCTCGGGCTGTGCTCCGTGGTCATATATGGGTCGATGTGGCCGGCAGCCATAGGCGCCTTTACGTGCCAGCGGCTCGACCACGTTGTAGACGCGTCCTTCGCAATTCAGCATACCAGCTGCGAGTAAGGATGATTAGCCTCCCAAATTATTATTATTATTAAATTAAATTTCTTCATGGATTGGAAGTTTACTTAGGAACAGTATAATTGGTGCTAAGTCCAATTAAGAAGCCAGCAAATTAGCGCTAATTACACGTTTAATCATAATTACGAAAGCACGGATAAAACAATGTGCAGCTTGCGCCTTGCTAGAGCCCTTTGGTTTTTATTGAAAGTCATTTTTTTTTCTAACGATGGTCGTCCGACCCTCATCGGAAATTGATACAAAAACGTGACTTTTCTTGAAAAAAAAAGCACACCAGTTACTATGATTTCACAGGATGCTTGAGACTACTATTCACTTACAGTCAAGTAAGGTATTTCAAAATAATTTGGTAGTTTTGTTGCAGTTTTGTTGCAGTTGCAGCTGCAGGTGGCAGTTTTGAATATCGGAATATTCGGTCCAACGCAGATTCAAGTAATCAAATACTAAATTATTTGAAAATAGACAGCCCTAAAGTCCTGAATGGCGCTTTGCAAAGCAGTTCATAACTTCCATAATAATTGTGTTTCGTTGTGCAGGACTTGTACACCATGGCAGCCGTGCAGGTATTAATGGAATACTTGACTGATACATCCGTTGCACCCCTGCAGCGAGATTTTGTAGAACTAGAAGATCCTTACTGCAGTAAGGTAGGGAGACATTCTGATTCCAACTCCAGATAACCCCTAAATTAATGAATTGTCCAAATCCATCAAGCCAGCATGGCTCATCCAGCTGGTTTTTCTCACTTCTTTGCACTGAACAAGTTAAAATATTTCTACTCTCTCCAAGTGGTATCGAAATATTTGTATTCTTTCTAAGGATAGGATGAGATAATATTTCTATTCCCTGGATGGGATGAGAATATTTCTATTTCACCTATACGGGATGACAATATTTCTATATTTCTGGATGCAAAAGCCAGTCCACCAATGGTTTCACCCAAACTAATGTCAGGAACTGTTTCATTTATACTTAAAGGGAATATACATCATTTGCTTTTGCTGTAATTTTCAGAAATGGATGGCATTGGGGGGTTGGAAATATATAGCAAATATAGTTACACTGACTTTTTTGAGGTTTTGGGTTCGAAAATGCTATAAAAACCAAGAAAAACAATCATTTTCCTGTAGTCTGGTTCCCTGACTCCATATAAGAAGAAACAGAGCAGTTTACATACATTGGGGAATTGTAAGGTCAGGGAACCAGTCTAGCTGGCTTGTACCCGTTCATAGGTGTGTAATCGATTGCAAACAAGTGCGATGGTCAATTGGGGCCAGTATTTGAAAAAAAGCCAGTTTTTTCCAACGCTGACCAGCGTTGCAAATTGATACCAAAATACCACTTTTCTTGAAAATGACAGTATTCCAGGTGCCATGATTTTACAGGATGCTTTACACTGTCATTCACTAACAGTCCAGCAAAGTATTTCAAAATGATTTGGTAGTTTTATTTTTTGATGTTTGCAAATGTTGTATTTTCCCTTTAAGTTCAACTGTACTTCTCCTAAGCTGAAAAGGGTAAAGTGGCTTGCCCAAGGACACAAGACATCAACACATTGTCAGCAGTTGGAAACAAACCCTGGATCCTCTGACATTGACTTAAAAAAATAGGGCTAAAAGTTTTTGGCAATGTATGGTATATAAAACATGGTTTGAGGGTGGACAGTCGATATTCACTCCCCGAGGTATTGGAAGTTCGCCGAGGGAACTAGCTTGTCAACTTCCAATACCGAGGTGAGCTAATATCGACTTTCCACCCAAAATAGACCATCATATATTTATTTTACTATACCTCATACATATTCAGTTTCCAAGTTTTTTTTTCGTTGCAGAATGCACCTAAAATAATATTGTCGGAGATCTTGTCCAGCTCACCGAAAGAATATATTATTTCTCAACTTCACTAGTTCAGTTTGTTTGCAGTACAGTTGTAAATACAGTTGTTTGTGGACAACTTTCTTTTGTACAGGAGGCATCTTTATTGTCCATAAATGTTCTCCAGTTTGGCATCATTGAGTTCAGGAAAATTAACATTTATGCGTACCGTGCTACCATCTCTTCGTGTTTAGCTCGCTTGGGCGATGTTCGTGGGGCTAACTCGTGCGACAGTCTACTACGCATGCGTATTTACCTTGTGCGTGAATCCTTGCGTGAGCGCTTGGTAAACAGCAAAAATAATATCTGGCGCGTGATGGTGAATAGACCAATGAGAGTTCGGCTCTCGGTCATGGATATATGTATGACGTATAGTAATCTAAAATATTGCATGATTTCAAGATAGACATTGATCTCTCTTTGTTCTGTTTTAAGGTTCGTTACTCCGTCATTGAAGCATCAGAGTCCTGTGTCTACGTCAAGTTTGACAACGTCCCAAAAGCCAAACTGTCGGAAATAAAGGACAGGTAAATACAAGGGCACTGCCTGAGGAACCTTTGAGAAAAATGCATGATAGTAATTTTTTTCTTCGAATAATACATGTACGTACTCAGTCAGATAAAGAGAGTTGTAGTGATAAAAATTATTCACACTGAAAAGCAGGATACACAATTCACTTCAGTCATTTTCTATTTAGGGCTACATTACATGTAGGTAGGGCTGGATACAAAGGGGGTGGATAGCTTATTAGTACAGTAAGTAGATTATTTTTATGGTGTAAAGCAGTAGGAATCTTCGCTCATTCATGTAGACTTAAATCTGATGTTCCACTGTATGAGCATTTGTGGAAGTCTCTAACAAGGTCTCAATGACATAACTGGGGAAAAGTGGCTTGCCCAAGGACTCTAATCTATAGGTCCAGCCCTATAAAACTGCCAAAGGTGGCAGTTTTTTATCCATCTCCGGTCAATTTCTTTCTTCAACCTGAAGTTGGTTTTCTTATTCTGATAGACTTTGCTCCACCCTGGACGGCATATCATCAGGCAAGGAGCCCGTTGACATGGAACGTATGGCCAGCGTTCTCCATCGCCGCATCCTAGAGTGCCTCAACCACATGGAGGAAAGACCTCACGACACCTTTGCCTTCATGGGTATCGGTGACTTCCTATACTGCGATACCAAGGAGGAGGTACCAATAAGCCATTTGCGTGTAACCTATACCCTTTGGGATTTACATTTGAAAAACGTCTGGTACAATGACTTGCTCAGAATGCTTGGCACATTTTAACTGTGAATTCTCCAGACCAAAGACACTGTTGCTAATCACATGATTCGGGGCAAGCTCTTGCATAGTTACGTAAGAGACGCTCAGCACCAATACATCCTTCACAATGGGTGAGAATGGCACAAAGACACCAGACCATGCCGGAGCTGGGGGTTGCTAGCATAAGGCTTGCCCCGAATCACGTGATATAGTAACAGTCTCTTTGGTCGGGAGAATGCTAGGTTAAAACGTGCAAAGCATTGTATTAAGTCAGTGTTCCAGATTTTATTCAAATTTAACACGCAACTGGCTTATTGAGAATATGATCCATTTACAAATAAGATTAGGTGTGCAAGATACAGATACCAATTGAGAATAGGTCCTATTCTAAAAATGTACCCGTATACATTCCCATAAGGTATTAACCTATCGCGGTAAAATAGCGTCAACGCAGGTTGTGGAATATTGTCCAATTACATGATATACAAATGGATGCGGAACGCATAAAATCTGAGACAAACAAAACTTAACCTACAAAATTCCATTGTCTAAGGTGTGTGGCTAAATCGCAAACGGCGATAAGTCAATTTCTAACATGGTTGTCATTCATTTCCGTTCAATAATTCAGGGACGATGAGCACGTACCAATTAAGAACGAGTACCAATTACTAATTGGCCTAAGGCAAGCACTTGGTAACTTTGGTTTGAAGGGCACTTAAATACAACTTTTTGAGACTGAAGCTTTCATTATCAAATTGCCTTCTTGTATATCTCAAAATAAGGTACCGATTGAGAAATTGTCCAATTTACAAATGAAATGGAATCATTGTTTTTTGTGATTATGATAAGTGTAATTCTTGTTTCTTTGTCTGCAACAGCTGGAGCAGCGCTTGAATCAGGTGGAGAACTACAAGAAACAAGTCAAGGAACCAGACAGCTTTTGGAAGAAGCTTCTGACCGACTTCTTTATCACGGCAAAATCTGTCACGGTAAAAAAAAAAAAAAGTGTTAATTCTTTCACTGCTTGAGACTAGCTCTTAGCCTTTGTTTCGCTAATAGCAAGCCATTATGATAAGAAAAGTTGTCTGCAAATAAGTTTCATTTTTTTCCCATGAGAAATTACAAATATACTGAAATGTGAGTAGAACCTTCACTATTAGTTCAATGGTGATGCAAATGAAAAACCTGAATTCAGAATTCAATTGAAAGATAAAAATCCATGAATCAAACTTGTTTTTTTTAAAATTTCCTTATGGCTCCACAGATTCTGGGAGAACCAAGCCAGAAATTGGCAGAGTCTATGCCCGAGGAGGAGAAACAACGTGTTGCTAAGCAACGGGAGGACCTGGGGGAGGCGGGGCTTAAGGAGAAGACGGATGCCCTTCTGAAGGCGACGGAAGAAAATGAGGTAATTTATGTTGGATATTCGAGGTCTCCACTCGAGATGCAAAATGTAATAATACATGAACTGTACACTACAAGCAATGGCAGCAAGACTTTGTGGTTTGGGATACATCATTAACGACTATAGCATAGAATAGTTATAATATAGTTAAAAAAAAAATTCCAAAAATGATATTTTTGCTTCATTTCTTCAGACCGAGCCTCCGGAAAACATGATCAGCTCCCTGCCGGTACCCGGCACAGACTCCATCCATTTCCATCCCATCAATCGCCGTAGCAACCTGCCTAGCAACCAGGGAGACGGGGAACTGGACGGGATGAATCTGCAGAAGATCCCGTTCACATTTCAGCTGGACGACATTCACACCAACTTTGTGCTGGTTTGTAAAATGCTGTCCCTTTCCCAAAATAATTAAATTTGTGACTTCTAAAAAAATGGTACAATTTATAAAAAAATTTATAACATTTTCATATTTTAAAAAATTAATTTGGCTTTCAAAACTTCAAGTATTAACATTAAGTAATGAAGCAATTATTGTCTGAAGTTTTTATGGTTAAAAAATTGTAAACCCAGTTTTGTGCTTTGCAAAAATTAGTGCCCACAGAAATAACAAGACGCTTGTTTTCAGGCCATGTATGCTTCAACAAATATTACAATATACATGCATAACTCTGAAATAAAACACTGGGAATTCAAAACAAATGTTGTCTACCAGATTTGTTAAGACATTTTCATTCAGAGTTTAAAATATTTATGTTTTTGAGCAGTTGCAGTTTTTTTTTTCGTTTCAGTTTTCAGTCTTACTAGACACGTCCTCTGTACCTGGCAATCTGAAGCAGTATCTACCACTGTTTATTGAAATCATATTTGAGTCGCCACTTATGCGGGATGGAGGTAGGAACAAAACCTCTTTTTGTTATGACCCAAATATTTTTGGAAGAAGTTCATAAGACAAATTTTGAACTGCTATTTGCTCTTTTTATCCCCTGGCTTTCAAACCAGACAGGGGGATATTGCAATCGCATATTCCTTCTGTGTGTCTGTGTGTCCGTGTGTCTGTGTGTTCCTGCATGGCATTACGCCTGAGGACAGACAACAAAAGGAGCACAAAGGGGCCATTGATCCTCGAAGGAAGGTGCCTATTGTCCTCGAACGCAGGTTTGTGTGCTTAGTCTATCGGAGAGTGTTATATTACAGGGACAAAGGAAAACACAAAGCCAATCCTCGGAAGCATAGCAAAAAACGACTATGTGTCCGTGTGTGTGTGTTCCAGTTCACTGTAAGTTCAGTCATCAATCTCAACCAAAATTCGAAGGTGGTCTGTGGAGAGAAGGCCGACATCAAAAAATCCTTTCCAATGTTGATATTTACGAGGTCTCTGGAGAGATACTAATGACTCTAACATATTTTAGTCCGGTGTCTCACCGAAACTCTCCATTCAACCCAAACTCTCCATTCAACTGAGTACTGGTACCTGCAGGGTGGACAATCAAGGCCATCACTGAAAATTGTCCTATTGTCCTTACTAACTGCCTGTACATGTACACGTATACAAACTGGCAGGATGCCAGTGGGGATAGCGCAAGTTTTACTTGCAGTCTTTTTTTATTTTAATTTTCATTTATTTATGTATTTTGTTACTGTAGTTCTGATATCATATGAGGATGTTGTGACACAGCTAGCAGCCGACACCCTATCGACTGAGTCAAGTCTAGGTTTCAAGGGAGCACGCTTCCGCTGTGGAAAGTTCTCCCAGTTAGCACTCATCGAAGTTAAGGTGAGGCGAGAGAACTCTTTTCAACATTTAGGTACTTGGACATGAAGTCTATGCAAGTCATTATGGGTTGGGTATTAGTGAAGTTGTAATTAACCTTTCGCGGTAGAATCGCGTCAACGTAGCTTGTGGAATATTGTCCAACAAATGGACGTGGAACGCGCAAAATCTGAGACAAAAAACTTAACGTACAAAATTCTATAGGGTTGTCTAAGGGGCGTGGCTGCGATAGGTCAATTGTAAGAAGTTGTCTCATTAAATATCAAGGCTAAGTTGAGGACAACTTCATCCACAATCGATCTTGATCGTGCTCCCTGAATTTTTGCCATAATGTCGTGCGTTGTTATATATATGCACAAATCAATGAGTGCGTTTAACATTTACGCAACAAAGTCTGGCTAATTTCAAAAATCGTGTATTTGTTCATTCACACACGCTCGTGTGCGATATTGCTGCGTGAAAAAGTCGTTGCGACAAAATCACGTATGTGTAAATAGGCCTTGTAAACTGTTGAATGGGATGGTGCTAGGCTATTTATGCGTTCCAAGCCTCACTTTCATTTTTATTTACATGTGGATTAGAACATTAGCATATAATTAATCACAAATTTTAAATTATTCAGCAGAGCAAACTGGTATAACAATTTTTGTCAGGTATTAAAGGCCGGATTTTGAACAACTTTTCTAGAATCTTTCCGCAATGTAGTTACAGGATTCTGAACAACTTCCAGAATCCTATACTCAACTTAAAGTCATATGTGTGGTCCAATTTGTCTACCATTCATCCAGGATATTTAACCTTAACCCCTTGAACAATTTTACTAAAAAGTATGCTGAATCCGCCAAACTTCACCTATTGTGTCATGCACAAAAATGTTGGTGTTGTTGACTACTCAGTATGGAGGTATCCTGAATCCATCAAAATCCTGCAGTAGCCTACTGCTAAACTTACAATCCTGAATCCATCAAACAAAATCTCCCCGTTTTCAATATGGAGGCATCCTGAATACGCAGAAATACTCCAAAACAGGGGTATGGATTTTGATGGATTAAGGTTGTTAGGGTTGATGAAATGACTCCTGGAAAGTCAATTATATTTCTGAAAAGGCAACAATATCTTCACAATTTGATATCAGGTCGAAGTAGAGAAATACTTCAAGGGAGTGCAGTGGCTTCAGGAACTGCTCTACCAGACCCAGTTTGTGGCCGATCGACTGAAGATAGTTGCCAACAAGATGACTAATGACGTTGCTCGACTGAAGCGAGACGGCCGAACAGTTGCCGTGGCAGCTGTTAGGGAAATGAATTACGTCAAAGGTAAGAGTTTGAAGGTCATCAATCCTTGTCATTTGCAATACATTATGCATTCATAGGCCTAGTTTTGTGAAATTGAAAGCCAAAAAAATGTTCTCAGCGCATTTATATGCTGTGTGATAGTCAGCTGAGAAGCAGTTAAAAAAAACCAAATACATGTAGTGTACAAAGCATAATGGCATTGGGGATAGAGGAATAACAAGAAGTAATAAACTAGAGGTCCATGTCTGTTTCAGAACAGAACATAGAGCTTTTCTGCGTCATTAATTTTTTTTAATGATTTTATGTTTTTTTGGGTCGATGTCCAGTCATGTAAATGATCAATTTTATGTACGAACAAAGATTAAAGTGCATTTTATGTAAAAAGTTTATAGTAACAAAACAAAATAAAAGTTAACAGATTATTTAAACATCAGTTAACCCTAACCACCCCAATTTCATCAAAATCCATCCCCCCCCCCCCCATTTTTGGTGGATTTTGGGGAACTTGGTCCAGAAGGCCTCGCCTGACTAAATATTGATGGAGTGTGATGGACTTGGGCCTAATAGCCTGAAGCAGTGCTACGGGTACCCGATTGATTTTGCCTAGCTTCCTGTACTACTGTTGTAATAAAAGCCATGTGTAGCAAGTCCATGAATGTCAACCAGTGCGTCAGTGGTGGATTCCATTATGTCATGTACAGTTTTGTATTGGACGCACAGTGATTGATGGATTTTGATGGACTTGGTCCAGTTCCTAGTAAAATACGCTAGGGAGTTAGGGTTAATGACGTAATCTTGACGTCATTTAGAATTTTGCATACCAGTAACTTAACATTATCTACCAGCCAATTTGCCATTTACTAATACTAATAATGCACTTGTTAGCTTTTCCGAACATCCAGAAAAACCGTTGTTTTTGTTCTGATTTGTTTTCTCACGCTTCTTTTTGTTTTTCTATCCCAAATGCCAAATTCTTTGTTCACAATTGTTTGTTTTCTTTTACTGATAAAAACAAAAAAGTGTGTACAAAGTCTATGGCACAAAATCCTCAAAGCACCAGTGTTGTTTCTTTTGTATGCATTGCAGAGAGCAACTTCCATGTTGCTAGCATGATTCGTCAACAGAAATTCCTGTCCAGTGTGGTGGAGAAATTGGATCAAGATCCAGAGGGGGTAGGTTCGAATCTTGTAGCAGACGCATGAAATATTTGGTTAAATATGAAAAAAAAAGTGTGTTGCAATAAATTGCCTTTTCAAATCTATTTTGGGGGAGAAATCAGTCTTTAAGTTTCTAAACTTTTAATAACCCTAACTCCCTAGCCTGATTTACTACGAACCATACCCACCCTGGCAAATTCCAACACCATATGGGAAACTGCACACACATATTTCTGACTTTGATTCTGGAGGTGTGCCAACCCAATGTAAAAGACTGTCAGTTTAGGGGTACTGTACCCATCCTGACAGATTCCAACAAAACATGCCGTTGGGGTTTGATGGGTTGAGTTCTGTTTATAGGGTTAAGGGAAATATATTGATAATCATCAATACACTGGTCATCATTATTGCAGGTCATCAAGGAGATGAATGGCTTGCGTGACCTCTTGACCTCACCTAACAACCTGCGCATCCACATGGCCGCCGACATGAAGAAACTGAAGGAAGCAGGAGATGCCCAGTTGCCATGGCAACAGCACTTCGTCGGGAAAAATGTCAAGGCGGACTCCAAATGGTACAAAAGAAAGATTGGAAATTGTGATAATTTTGTATTTTGGATTATTAAGTTCTATTGGAGTTGAAAATATAGTCTTCAGATTGTTGTTTGCTTCTGTCATACATTGAGAAGTTGGGCACGTTTTCAAGCAAGCTGATCCATAAACATGTATGCCCTTGATCACCCATTGCCTAACTTATTGCTGTAGTTGTATAAGGAGTTATTTTTTATTGTGATATGTCTTCCTATTGTTTATTGACAGTAAGCCAACTTTGTCATTCTGTCACTGGATGCAAGTGTTTGAATTGTATTTTGCATATTTTGCGTAGAGCGCTGTGGTCCAATGGTTATTATGCCCAGTCACACCCAGTGCCCCTTTAGGTGCTAGTTTTTCAATTGTATTTTGCCCATCTTTCATACAGTGACAAGTTAGGCAAGTTTGCCAGCCATTTATTATGCCCAGTCGACACCCAGTGCCCCTCTGGGTGCTACTCTTGCAATTGTATTTTGCCCATCTTTCAAACAGTGACAAAAATAGGCAAGATTGTCAGCAAGCTATTGCGCCCAGTTGACACCCAGTGCCCCTCTGGGTGCTACTCTTGCAATTGTATTTTGCCCATCTTTCATACAGTGACAAAAATAAGCAAGAGTGTCAGCCAGCTATTACGCCCAGTCGACACCCAGTGCCCCTCTGGGTGCTAGTCTTGCAATTGTATTTTGCCCATCTTTCAAACAGTGACAAAAATAGGCAAGAGTGTCAGCTAGCTATTGCGCCCAGTCGACACCCAGTGCCCCTCTGGGTGCTACTCTTTCAATTGTATTTTGCCCATCTTTGATATTGTGACAAGTTAGGCAAGTTTGCTGACCAGGTTTTACGCTCGTCACACCCAGTGCAGCACTCCTCTGGGTGCTAGTCTTGCAATTGTATTTTGCCCATCTTCCATACAGTGACAAAACTAGGCAAGAGTGTCAGCCAGCTATTGCACCCAGACACAACCAATGCCCCTCTGGGTGCTAGTATTTCAATTGAATTTTACCCATCTTTCATACAGTGAAAAAAAGACAAGTTTGTCAGCCAGCTAATTCACCCAGCCACACCCATCGCCCCTCTGGGTGCAAGTCTTTCAATTGTATTTTGCCCATCTTTCATGCAGCGACAAGTTAGGCAAGTTTGCCAGCCAACTATTATGCCCAGTGGCACCCAGTGCCCCTATGGGGACCATAGTGGGAGTGGGCTCAGTGGAATCCGCCTTCCTGATCCAGACGGTGCCTTGCATCAGTAGTTTCACCGATCCCGACCTGCCAGCCATTATGGTGTACATGGAGTGCCTTTGTGCATTAGAGGTGTGTGAAGAATGCGCCTCGTGTGCCATGATTATTTGTGACCGGCTCCACAAAAAAAGGGTATTATGTCGCAAAAAGGTGAAATTGAGTTATATAGGGCCTACATGGTTGGAAAGCCCACAATGTAAGCTTTCATTTGGTACATAATAGAGCTCCATAGCCCCTCCCATTCTGGAGATACATGTATGACGTATATTTGCATATTAATCACTTCCTTGGAGTTTAAATTACACAACTGAGAAAACAGGCTTTGAAATAGCTGGCTTTGTTGTGAAACAACAGAACGATGTACAGTCGAGTCTCGTTATAACAAACTCGTTCGGACCAAGCCAAATTGTTTGTTATATCAGAATTTTGTATTAAGAGGAACATCAGTCCCATTCATTGTGCATATAAATGCACAGTCGGGACCAAGGCTTTATTTTGTTATAACCAGAATTTTGTATTAACAGAGTTTGTACTAACGAGAGTCGACTGTACACCAAATGATTGGTTTTTCCACTTCGTTCATCAAAATCAACATTTCTGTGAATGTAACCTGAAACTGTAGGTATTAAAGATGTCATTCATGACAAAAAATGAAAATCACATTTTGACCAAATTTTCACCCTCTCACTGTTGAGCAGGCCATTACACAATAATGTACAGCGCGACTTAATGACCTTTTTTGTGGAGCTGGTCACATTTTATGAAAAGTTTTACTCATTGCCAATCAATGTCTCATGTGAACATTACTTTGTTTGCATGTGAAAACAATTCCATTCCTATTTCACTCTTTTCCGGGAGTGTTCCATGCGAACACAATTATATTTTGACTCTATATTCCATCAGCGTCCCATGCGAATATCATTCAATTTTGACTTTGTTTCTGTAGCGATGTGAGTTTTCTCCCGAAATGAGTTCTACTACTTTTTATGAAGCCTCGTGTCTGCGCTTGAATATCGTGAAAAACTGCACACAAAATGTTGGTTGTTCACAAGTTTTAATGCTCTCAAAACTCACAAGTTCGTCCAATGATTAACAAACTTCTGGATGACAGTAGGCTTAAGCACACATTAATGAAATGAAACTGAATGAAAGTTTTGAGGAAACTTTCAACGTTGGAATAAAACTTGCACAAAGCAGGATGAAAACGATTAGTGAGAGGTCACATACTGTACATGTCACACTGCGCAAACGCAGCACAGCGAAAATGAACTCTGGTGCCTATGGCAACCAAAATTTATTAACATAATTGTTTGTATGGAACGCCTGATGGAGCTGAAAGTATATATTATATACATGTCACTACATTTCCATCAGTGTCCAGTGTCAACATGATTCCATTTTTACTCTGTTTTCCGTCATTTAACCATGTGAACATGAGTCCAGTTTGGCTTTATTGTCAATTTCAAATTCACCTAGAAATGTGTTATGGACAAACACCAGCTGTTTCGGCTGTTTGAAATGACTCTATGACATGTCATGACGACGTCACTTCAAATTTCATCGATAACACATGTGGCATACATGACGTGATGACGACATAATGACGTCACTTCAACTTTCATCGATATTACATGTGACGTACATGACGTGATGACGACATGACGCCATCACTTCAAATTTCAACGATAAAACGTGACGTACATGTCATGATGACGTCACCAGGACATCACTTTATTTTTGTCTATAACCCATCCTGGTCTACGAACCAAAGAAGTTACAACCAAAATGGACATACAGTTCTATAGATATAGAGATTTGAAAATACCCCTTTACCGTGACGTTACATGACTTGTGAGGACGTCATCATGTACGTCACTTTAATTTTCATCTGTAACACATCCCAGTCTAAGTACATGTACCTACCAACTTTAAAAGTACCTACAACGGCTGACTTGCCAAAACAGCTAAATAGACATTTATTTCCATATACAGCAAATACACAGTAGTGAATGAATGATGATGATAATTATACAGAGATCTACATTCAGAGGGACAATTTACAAGATAGACCTTCAAAAAGAGGGAGGCTGGTAATGAGGCATCGTCAAAAGACCAAAATGCTTATGTAGAAATGCTTTTGATACTATGACAAACAAAACTACCGCTAATTTCGAACCCTGCTATATGCGTATCGGGCATTTATGGCTGCTCGCCATACACAGGCAAGATGTGCATGCTTCTATCAGTGACTGAGGGTACAAAAGCGACTGAAACCGCGTTTTCAGCAGTAGCGAATAGGCCAAAAAATCGATCAATTATTGTAATTTACTTGACACCTGATGATGCAATCGTGATAAAAATCTTCGGCAGACATCTTTAGGTAGTGGCTTAAGAGTATGCCAAGTCTGAAATCGATCAGATCTACATTACGAAAGTGCCAAAGTGTATCGACAGAACGAACATGTATAAAACAAATAGCTAAAATCTCTTAATATCCGTATGGGCAACGTGTGCACCGAAACTTGGAGAACAAAAAAAATAGCTGCTTTGGCAGTGTACTGCCGAAGCAGCTAACGAGACAAAGACAATCAAACGTCTACAAGACATAACAAGAACACAAGAACAGATGGTACATAAACAGGTAGTGATATGCTGAATGCACAGAATAAAGAGGAAGAAAGGAAGTAGCAATGTATAATAATGTCCATCAGTGTAATAATGTCCATGTGATCATGAGTTTCTTTGACTCTTTCCCTTTCAGGCTCCAAAGTGAACATGATAGCTATTTGTTTTATCCATCTATTTCCACTTGACTGCTTTTGTTACATCAGTTATGTATACATGTACCTATTTATGTTTATAGTCTTGTCATTCAGCCTTCGAGAAAGACTCTGCTAGGGTCGAAACGTCAGGCCACTAACTATTTTTTTGCATGATTCCATTTTAACACTTTTTTCCTACAGGGTCCAATGTGGAAGCAGATCCGAGGCCTGGGCTTGGCCTACCATTATCGCATGTATTGCCGACCGGAGGAAGGACTGTTGTACTTCCAACTGTTCAAGTGTACCCACGTGGTCAATGCTTACAAACAAGCCTTGGACATTGTAGTGAGTGATCCAAATACATTCCAATATGGATTCCGTGCACAACTAGTAACTACCCCCTTCAGTTGTTACAAAGAGAGGGTTGGGAGAGACTCTTATACGCATTGCCAAGGGTGGATCCAGAGAGGTTACTGCCGGGGGCAGAGGGTGTGGTGGGGAAGGAAGGCGGAAGAGATATATTTACTGCCATGGGGTATCATACATGGCCTGATGAATGGGGGAAAGATTGTAAAGCGCTTTGAGATTGTTGATACGACGGAAAGCGCTATACATACATGTATCATTTACAATAATGTAATATTAAAACCCAGAGGCCATTTTCATGTAGCTCATTATCAGAACAGATCGCTTAGCTACTTTCCATGCTGAGAAAACTTAAGCTGAGATCCAGTAATATGCTGTGTACATCACATGGCATTTAAGCTGGTGACCAGAAAGTGTTGCTGACAAAATGTATTACTAGAAAAACAAATTTCACTTGTAAACCAGTCTCAAGGGGAGTGAGGTTGGCGTAGCGGTACTTTCCTCGCCTTCCACTGCTGTGACCTGGGTTCAATTCCTGCTTTGGCCATTATGTGGATTGGGTTTTCAGTCCCTGCCTGATTTAGTGTGTTTTCCCTGAGATATTCTTCTGGGGTTTCCTCCCACGTCTAAAACTGTAATTTCTTCACACAGTCTTCTCTTTACTGGGCCCTATGGGAGACCAGTGGATTCCACTGAATGGACTACCCATTTTAAATAATTAGCTGGTAACCTGAATATTTTGCTCAGCAAATTTCACATTCTCAGCAGAAATTCAGCAGAGAAACAGCCACAAGCAGTGTATATCGCATGGCCTTTTAGTCGGTAACCTGCTCCTTTGTGCTTGGCAACCGCAGGAAGGTTACCTGAGCGGCAAAACGACCTTTGACCCAGTCCAGCTGGAGACGGCCATCAGCAGCGTCTTGTACGAAGTGATAGAGAGGGAAGAGACGGTGGCTTCTACATCTCAAGAGTCTCTGCTGAGCTACTTCAGGGGAACGGACCAGAACTACAATCGGTGAGGCAAAGAAAGATTTGTGGATGTTGGGCACATTCTGTGGGGGACTTTAAATGTGCAGTCTGTCACGAGCCAATATGGCTCACCAGGCCAGTGTTTATCTCCAATATCTTTGTCATGAAACATAGCTATTTTTCAATAGAGAGGGTGTGTGGGAGTGGGTGTACACGCCCTATTTGTTTTATTTATTTGTCGGCAAACTCGCTGCTAACAAAGAGTCCACCTTTTGTTTGAAAATGTCCAAAATGGTCAGCTACGAACAGCACCCCAATATTGTAAGATGGTGTCCATTCTTCACCACCCCCGCCCCCCCTCACCCTCTTTTTAATAATTTTGCATTGGCCGAGCGACCCAAAAAGAATCCTGGCTACCTGCTTGGCCCCCCTTCCCCCATCAGCAAAATCCTGCATACGGAACTGTTTGCTGCCAGAATATCACGTTACTCTAACATACATGTATGTACTTGAGCTAACCATTACCTGAATGTCATATTTCCTTTCAGTGACCTTCTGTCCCAGATCACCAAGGTCACGGTGGATGACCTTATGCGCATCGGAGATAAGTACATGCGTCCACTGTTTGACACTGGCAAATCTCGCTGCTCTGTCTGCTGCCAGCCATCCAAAGTTGACGAGATAAAGGAAGCATTCAAGACGTGAGTATACAGACCAATAATAATAAAGATCATTTATAATGCGCCAGCATTAGATGCTCAAGGGGCAGAGAAACAAAATTAAAATAACAAAAATGGAAGGGAACAATAAGATACACACAAATGAAAATTACATGAAGATGATACAGCAATATAACACGAGAATCAAATAAAAATCGAGTGTTTTTTAAGTGTTTTTCTAAGTGCTGAAAAAATACCTAACCAACAAAGATCCCACCAAAATTTCACATTGAAGGCATTCAGCTGGTTCTTATATAATTAGGTAGAGCAAAGCAATTCGCTGAACAGTATTTTAATTCAAGTTTCCACTAATTGTTTTTTTTTTACAAATCATTGCCTTTTCTATATTATTAGGCACTATCAGTGTTGTAATTTACCTTTTTTCTCCCTTTCATTGCAGATTTGGCCGGGAGTTGACGGTCATGGCATCTTTAGACGAAGGTTTTCAATGAAGTACATAGCCGAAGCAAATTATCTCGTTCATGAGCACATTTTTGCTTTGTTTTGTTACATCTTTAGTTTCTGGTCATCTTTGTCTCGTTTGTCTTATGTACCTAAGAGTGCCTTTGTTTAAATTGGCACCAGCTTTAAACAAGTTTTAAGTCATAGTTCCAGTAATTCTGGAAATGTTTATCACAAATTATTCACATAGTTGCACAGCATGATACAGTGATATGGGCTACTGGTCAAATATGGGATAATCGAACACTCGCCGAAGGCGCATTAACGTGCATGGAGATGGGTGCACGAGGCTCGCATGTTAATGTCGAGCAGAATGGGTGTTTGCGTAACATCGTGTAACATCGCGTAACATCATGTCAGCGATCCCGAATGACCTTTGACCGGAACTACTTCATCGAGATGCCGAACCAGCTTATTTTGGGAAAGTTTTTCACAAATTATTCACACAATTAGTATGACAATTATAGAAATCATAGAAACAGAGAGGAGAAAAGAAAGGTGGTTTGAATGTTTCATTAAAGTGTCACAAGTTAAAATTAAAAATGATCATTCAAAATAAATTGTAACTGTGGAAATTGTTAAACATATGCACGTATACATGCTACATGTATTTGCTAGTTACATATTGAGAGCTAATTCAGTTGTAGCTGTATATTATGCATTATTCATAAGATGGAATTTTGCGTCGGGGTGATGTAAATCAAATTAGGTTTTGCCCTTCACCGACGTATAAAGACTGTATACTCAGTTAATGCGGTACCCGCTGCTATGTACATCAGATTCGAACCAGCCAACCGATCCCGTTAGCTCGGTGGTCGAGTGGTAAGTCATCTGCACTAGAAAGCAGGAGGTCGTGGGTTCGAGTCCCACCCGAGTGATTTTTTCCAACTTTCACTCGGGAGGTAACACACTAAGTATACAGTCTTTATACGTCGCTGAAGGGCAAATCCTAATTTGATTTATATTATGCATCGTTATATGAAGGCCAAGGAGTCGGTCATGCACTAGAAAGTTTACGTATTTAGAGTTGTTTTTTATAATTTTTATACCCTTTATTTTGCATACAATTTTCTCCAAGATATGGCTGAAGTAACATCATATATTTCTTTCTGAAGATATGTTGAACATTTTCAGAGAAAAGGGCCCATGACTTTGAGCCCTGTTTTTTTTTCATAAGCTACCAACTTTGTATTTCTAAATACAGTGCAATTCCGTAATACTTACCGTCCACCACAGATGTGTAGGACAGCAAAGCCATACTTTACATTTCTGACAATCTGTTATTTCCAATGTTTCTTTCTAGAAAAATAAAGCATATAGTCTCTATTGAAAAATCACTGACCCAGCTGACCAAGCTTCAGTTCTTTTTCGGAAAGAATTTTGCAACCTTTTGGTCATCATATGTCATCTCAATGTAGGTCAGTCATAGTCCGAAAATTTGGGACTCTCGATACTGTGTATGAGAGTCCCAAAACTTAAGGTATTGAAAACATGCAAAACAAGAAAATAGACTGGCACCTAAAACAACCAGTCCAACACAGCTTCAGTACTGCATCAATCAACCGTGCCAAAAGAATTTAAGAAAAATGTGGCATGAAGCGGGAACTAGTCTCAATTTACTACACATTTCTCCACAGTCAAGCCACCAGACTATTGACACTGAATGAAGAGGTCAGTCTTTTCAAATACTAACGGACCATGGTTGGACATGTACCAGTGTAGTATTTAGCCCCATTTTGAAATCACTTGACTTCCCTCTCATGTGTAAAATATTGAAGAAAAGTCTCCTTTAAAAATTGAATTGAGTCTGCAAACTTGGTTGGTGAAATACTGAGGACATTTTCTTTGCCCCAGTGGAATTTTGGAGAAATTTGCTGGCTAAACTGTGAGTAAAGTTGGCCTGATTGAGTTTTGCACGTTTCAGAGCACTCCAGAGCCCTGTCTGGGTCAGTCATTGCAAAATTAAATAGTGATAGATATGAATCTGGGACAGGCTGAGAAACACTTCCACTTTTGGTAGAAATACTTACATTTTCTTGACTATCCATAGACTTTGTACACAATCGCAGAAGTGGTGTCAGGTTGCAACATTCTTTCCAATTATTATTTTTTTTCCATTCTAATCTATAAAAGTTTCATTCATAAAATACCTTTAGACAGTTTAGCCATTCCGATTGGTCGTTCCTGTACCCGTCCCTATTGGTCGAGAACCCGTCACGTGGGTGGTCTTACACGGCCGTTTAAGCATCGCCAAGAGTGTTCAACAAAAAAGACCGTACCATACCTGAATCAAGACAAAACATTCTGCTTTTGTCTTTGCATTTTATTGTTAACAGAGAGAAAATTTATTCTTAAAGTTTGTAGGTTTTGAAGTTCGGGGAAAAAAAATATTTCTGAAAAAGCAATTAATTTCACATCATTTTGACTTAAATTCCTCATTTTCGTCTTTAAAATAGTAGAACAATACATGGGTTAAGTCCGAGACTAAAAAAGTTGCAATAAAAAATATTCGTCTGTTCGAGTCGACAATTTGCTCGCTCGCACCATGCTCGCGCGTCCTATGCATAGACGCACGTAGACGGGCATACGCCGGCGCAATGCAGCTGCATCATGTGACATGAAAGATCGTCAGATTTGCACACGAAACGGATATACGCAACTTTTTTCGCTCAGCACGAAAGCGTCAGTGTATCTGGTTGATTTGACCGTATTCTCTTCCTGTTCGTTGGTAAAAGTGTGCCTGAAAATGGAGGTAAGAGTTTAGGGTAATCCTTATCTTTAGGACACCTCTATTTTTACGAGTTACGTTCAAAACTGACTTTTGCAGATGACTGTCCAGTACCAAAGTGACTTTTGCAGGCTAAAGCAGTCTTTTTTTCTTCAGATAAACTCATTGTTGTCATTTTAAAAGAACTTACAAAGAAAATGTGACTTTCCTTATTTTTTTTTTTGCAGTTCGCCATCTTGCTTTTTAAATACCCCATAAAACCCCCATAAATCAAAGCCCTGCCCTCTTTCTACAAAATTTAACCTGCTGACATTCAAGGTGTCATTGCCAACTGTTCAAATGTGTCAAGAAACATCAGAATGACACTTTTTGAGTATCATTTAGTCAGCTATTTTGGCGAGTCTTTTAACCTTATACAGGAACGGGGTCCTAAAAGTAAGGATTACCGAGTTTAGTATGTTAAGGGACTTAAGTGTTCAACTAGATCTGTAAACATCACGAACATGGCGATGTTTACGGGGTCTATAGTGTTTAACGTATGCAAACATGTACAAACACCCCCCTCTCCTTTTGAAATTATTCCGTCTGTCTTGCTGTAATCTCGAAGAAATCAATAAATGTACTGTAGGTGATTTCCAACTGTTTTTAATAAGAGTGCTATTGACGAAACCATCTCTCGTGATCAAAATGTTGTGCGTGATTTTAAAAGTTTTTACTGCTTTTTTTTCACCGAGTGGAACTTCAACATGTTCAGTTTTGAGCATTCTTTTTTGGATTTTGAATTATTGGAAACGAACAAAGTGCTTTATATTAGACGTTCAAAACTATCGGCGACAAAACTGCTGGTACCAAATACAATTGAACATCCAAAATGGGGAAAAAATGTTGCAACCTGACGCTACTTTTTTTCTTCATATATCATCTCAATGAAGGTCATTCATTGCAAAAATGATGATAATACATGAATCTGGGACTGAGGAACATTTCCAATTTTGTTAGGAAATACTTAGAGAATGTTCTTGACTCAGGTTGCAACATTTCTCCCCCAAAATGAAATGGGAGAAGCAAGCAGACAATTGAGTTAAATTCCATATTTTAATCATTCTCTAAGGGTTTATTTACACAGTAACTCATTCTTTTTACAGGTGTTAAAATAATTATAAAGTACTAGAAATCAGTAAAGCCAGGGGAAGATAAATCAGTAACTGTACACTAGGCCAAAGAATTGGAGAGAGAAAAAAAAGTCACATCCATCAATATAACCACACACAGCCATTGATATCCCTGTCATCAGTGTCATGGTCACTGCTCATTGTGACTGTCACTGAAAGTATGGCTATGACAAGTGTCAAAGACCACTGTGACTGTCGAATTCTCCAGAAGTTACTAGATTATTTTCACATGTACAAATGGTCTGTCAAAATGCAAACTTAACGTGGGGGCTTGTACAAAAATCAGCTCTAAAATAAACATCAAAACGCAAGTGCTGCATTTACATATCCTTTATACAAATTTTCAAAAGTATCTTTTTTCTTTGAAGTTGCTCATACGACTAGTGCATGGAAATTGTATCCAAACCCCTAGGAACACACTATACAATAAATTAAATATTTCTTTTTTATCACACGCACATCTCATTGTATACTACATACAAGTGTTATTTGCAAAATACATATACACAAAAAGAAACGGAACTTTACTATAACTTTAATACAACCAATTGACCTTAACATTCTTGTCACAAGAACATCAATGCTCTGTTAACTTATTAAAAGGCACCAGACTAAAACGTGCATGTTCAGTACATTACTCTGTTAATATATTTATTAACCCTAACCCCCATCGGGTGTTCCTCAGGTACCCTGCTAAATGCAACAATACCAAACTCAACTCAAATGATAACCCTGCTAAATGCAACAAACGGCAACAGTGGATTGTGTTGCATTGTGCATTGAACCCAGTGCACACCAACCTTGGCACCAAGCAGTTACCCTGCTAAATGCAACAATATCCAACTGAACTCAAATGAGAAGTCTTCTAAATTCAACAAACTGCAACAGTGGATACTCTTGCATCGCCTTGGCACTATGAGCAGTTACCCTGCTAAATGCAACAAGATGCAACAGAGCACGGGGACTTGAGTTGCCTGCTAGATGCAACAGTATGCGACTGTTTACCTTTGTTGCTTTGTGTTGCATGTACGTAGCAGGGTTAGGGTGACTGAAGCTGGGGAAGAATTAACCCCAGAAGTGGGAGGAGCATATGTTGGGGGGGGGGGGAGTAAAATGATTTCAAGCAGGTAATATTTTACCATTAGAGCCTGCTTTGTCATAAAAAAGGCAAGACTGGAAATGGGATAGGCTTAGCAAGTTTGTTGGGCCTACAAGTCCTTTTTAAAATTTTTTTTAAAAAAGAATTCCATAATATTTAAGCTGACTTTAAAGACGTCTAGGAGGGCTCAATAATTATTTTGATCATCCCGCAAAATTTCAACAGCCGTTTCAGTGTGTTGACTGGCAATTTTCAAAAAAATCCATGGCCTTCTGGAGTGCTGACATGACTTTATCGTGATCCAAAAAAAACCCCAAACTTTGGTACATTGTAAACGTTTGACTATTGCAAATATCACCAGGAATTTAAAGATGTTCAATATAACAAGAAATATACCCTACAGAAACAACAGAAACATAACTGAAGATAAAAAATCAATTTAAAACAACTCACAACTCAAATTAATCAAAATAAACTAGAACTAAAAATGTCATTGTTTCAATAAACAAATCAATAAATAACAGACTTTTTGTTTTTAATTACAATCTAGTCTGGCTGGGACTGGTAACACAGCTGGGTTACCAGGACCAAGAAAAAAAATATCCCTTCAAGTGCATCATTGTACTGTAGTAACATGTACATGTAGTTTAAATTACTGCATGTTCTCTGGCATTACAATTTGTGGCCATGTTTGTAAAGTCAGTATATCTAAAATTATTTGAGTTGGGTGTGTATAGAATTTTCTCTATTATTTCATATTTGGTCCATAAGTTTAACTTCTTTTTCAAGGCAAGGACAAGATATTGCTGGAAATTATATGGTTAGAAACTCAAACCTCAACAACCATTGCATAGGAAAGAATTTCTAGTAAACTTTTCACAAAATATATTATATCAAAATTTGCGACATTTATGGTTGGAAAAAATTGTTTATTTCCTGTGTAATATTTTGCGACTACTGGGAACACATCTTGTCAATAGATTTCAGACTCAAGCCCGAAAAGCCCACACAACAAAAATTCCGCTTTTTAAGTGCTCAATAAAAGTGGAAGAAAAGGTAACTGTCTAAATTACAACCTCAGAAGGCAAGTACGTGTATCACACTAAACTAAAGAAATTCACTCATTTTTGTTTCCGAAATTGGTATCATTGTTGTACTGTTAAAGCATATTCAATGTCACATATGCTGAACATTGAGACAAATGTATCGAACATTATTATAAATGATACAAGTCAATTACTTTGTTCAATTTTATAATTAAAATATAATTTTGGCTCCTGCATTTTAAAGTACAAAACATGGCAAATAATGCAAAATGTTTTCAAATAATTTTGCTGCACCCAATGTTAAATGCAAAAGGAGCTTTTTTTATACCGAATGTATCAATATTTTAATAGATTGCTTTTTCAAAAGTAAAGCATATAAAAAAATGCGTCATTTTCCTGTTTTTGCCAGAATACATGCTGATATTGTTCTACTCTGACAAGGCATAAATTGGAGTATGCACCTTAAAAAAATATGGTACCTTACTAATGAAACGGTACATGTACATACATGTATCTCACATGCAGAAATACCATATGAGCCCCTCTTGGCAATACTGTTGACATTGCACATTCACCCTGCTATAATAAATGGTATATCCCATGGGTAGGCCACAGAGAGCTCATTGAATATTCCACTGGACTAACGAGGGATGTGGCATTGTTAGTACTGTCGAGACCAACATCATGCACCACTAGTAACAAAAATAGTTGGTGTAATGGGGGAGGGGACTGCATATCTGAAAGATATTGCCCTAATTAAAAACCAAAATTTAAGAATTGACCTAAAATAACAAATGGTAGATTCCACTAGCACGGTGCTTTGCAGCACAAGAACATTCCATTGCAGTACTGGGGCAGTACCAGTAGAGGCATTAAGGTTCCACACAAACCAAACACGTGGTGTACCTTATTTGGTTCAATGGGCTAATCCATGGGTGGGCAGCAGCACAGTGTTGGAACATTCCACTGCAGTTCCGGGGGAGGGTTTACTGTTAAACCTGGAAGCGTGAGATGAAGCCCTGGAGTTGTACGATAGACTTTTCTGTCTTGCGGAAGGAGTCCGTCAGGCAGTCTCTGGCTTGCATTTGCTTCTGCAAATGAGAAAATAATAATAATAATTGTGCTTATAAAACGCTTTCCATTGTATCAATGATCTCAAAGCGCTTTACAATTATTCCCCCGTATATCTGGCCGTTCATCTGGCCGTCCATCTGGCCATGGTACCACGCGGCAGCCCATATCAGCGCTCAATCGATCCTCGACCCTCACAGGTACCCATTTATACTCCTGGGTGGAGAGAGGCAATTATAGTTAAGTGTCTTGCCCAAGGGCACAAACACCATGTTCCTGGTACGGTTCCAACCCATGCACCTTTGTACACGAGTCAAACACCGTAACCACTGGACCATGGCGTTCTACGGGAAATTTGGAAGGAAATTTTGGAAGAGCCGAAAACATTTCCATAAAAATCAAGGACATCTGAGGCAACAGTATTTAATACGTCTCTTTTGGGACAAAGTGTTGGCGCTGAAGAGAGCCAGTGGTGAGAATAGGGTCTTGACGTTTTGAACGGTATACTCTGTTTGTCTTCAGGAGATTGCTGGATTGGTGCTCGAGAATCCAACAAGTGAACTAAATAAGAGAGCTGTGTAGCTTCACGGAATTGGGCCCTGGTGAGTATGCGTCAGAGGTGATTGCCGAGTTAATCATAACTCATATTGCAAGTCAAAAGTACATGTAACATGATGAAAAATGACAAAGGAATACCTTTGTCAGAGTTCACTTAGATTGCTTTTCACTTGAGACTGGATGACCTGTGATTGATTTTTTGTTGCCTTATGACTTGTGATAAACTGTGATGACCTGTGATCACCTGCGATGACTTGTGATTGACTTTAGCTTGACTTGTAATGACTTGTGATGAATTGTGATGGCTTGTAACCACGTGCAATCAATTTGTGATCAACTTGATGGCTTGTGATATCTTATGATGGCATGTGTTGTGTTGTGATGATGTCTGATTGATTTGTGACTGGCTTCCTGACCACTTGTGATGACTTGGGACAATTTACGATGACTCGAGGAGGAAGTAGGAGGACTTGTTATTGACTGGTGAAGACCTGCAATTGACATGTGAAAACTTATGACAACTTGGGATTGACCTCCGATAACTTGTGACACCTCATGATTTGTGGTTGCTTGTGATGACTTGTGATTTAAAGTTGCAAGGACTTACAGCTATTGCATCGTTGAGTTGTCTAGCCTTATCCTCCAGTTGTATCCTCTCATACTGCAGCTCCGATGCTCGCCTCTGCAGTCGACGCTTTTCCTCTTCCTTCACAGTCCGATGCTGGACGTAGGAATGGACGATGGCTAGCGTGCCGTGCCAATTCCCAGACTGGGAACCTTTTAACTATGACGGAATCAGCAAAATACAACACCCTTGAAACAACCCTTTTACAACTTCAACCTCTTACTAACCCCATAGGTTTGCCAGATTAGTACAAACAATGCAGCAGTGTTCTCCAACTTGTATAACATGCCTGGCGGGCCGTCAAGCTTTGCGCGACTTCCGGCAAGCTTAGAAAGTCAACACATGCTTTAAAATCAAGCTGCCAAGTTAAAAAATTTGCACTCTATCCTTACAACCCAAAATATGTAGCAACAAAGGAAAAAGGAAAGATAAATTGAGCTAACGTATTATATTTAACATTACAAACTGCGCCAAAGCAGCATGAAATACCCTATCCATGTAAAATGCTCAAGGGAATAGCGTCTTAAAGCACCAATTAATGTACAAGACCAACCCCACCCTTTTTAACTTTTCAATATTACCGACGCCTAGCAGCAACCTTAATTTGTCAAAGTTGGAGAACACTGTGCAGGGACCTGTAACAACTTGAAGTCTCTCAAGGGTTGAAAAATAGCCACTCCAAAACACATGCATCTTTCGTTATATACATGTATGGATGCATGTACATGTAGTAGGCCTTTCCTTCACCAATATTGTTTTTCTTTGTTTACATTAAAATCTCAAACTCTATAGGGGTACTTATTGGGTGCCATCATCCCTATAACATCTTGGATAACACCGCTATCCTTAAAAAGCATATGAATGCTCCATATGATGTTAGTTGAAGTGCCCTTCAATTCACTACTCATGGGTAGACTGCTTTCTAGAAATTTTCTGTGCAACTGATCCTTTATTTTATGGCACACAAGCTCTCACGTTTTTAAAACATGGAATGAATCCGCGTTGTGAAGAAAGGCAAGGATGTCATGACTTGGCAAAGTTGAAAAAATTATGTAAGTCATCAAAAAATGGTATGGAAAGCAGTTGTTAGTTTGTAAGTAACTATGACACAACACAACTGCCACACTTGAGCATGTTATTTTTTAGCCTTAATACGCAACCTCATATTCAACACAACATCCCTATTTCACACAGTGCACCATTCCATCCCGACCTCTGCCAGTGACCCGAATACACACAAATCTGTGTACCTTGCACTGCGGGCAACTCCACATGCCGGGGGGTACGGCGGTCAGAGGGGGATCGAGGCAGCCCAGGTGGTACACCAGGGGACAGGTGTCGCACATGAGGAGCTCATCCGTGGCCAGACCACAGGTTGAGCAGTGGTCCCGGTGCTTCTGGAAATACAGAGCACACACACATGGTGACGCACAGGGTGACGCACATGGTCAGAAATGTTAAGCAGAAGAAAGGAACATGCCAATGGGGGAGTTGGGAGAGAGAGCATGGTGTTGTCCAAACAGACATTGTTGTGTATGCTAGTGCTTTCCATTATAGTGTGTCAATGGTAAGCCATAACCACAAAATACCCATTTGGACATGGCTTTAGACAGCGTCTCAAAAACTGTAATACCGGTAGTTTGGTAGAGTAGATCATTTGCAGCTACATGTATTCAAAAACCAAATTATTGTTAAAAAGCTTACTTGGTTTCAAGATAGTAACAGCACAAAACTCCAAGCGAAAGTATTCAGACTGGCATACTATCATTTTGAAGAAAACAATGAAAGAAGGTCATTTGCAAAGAAGAGTCCAAGAGTTTTTGGAAATTTTTGTTTGTGGTGTACAAGTAGTTGGTTTGTAATTGGGGGAATCCCTGAATGGGTACGCGCAAGCATTGACGCGACGCACACACACGCAGTTGCTATTATTTGTCGGTACAGTGCGTGACATCACGTAGCTGCAATTGGCTAAATGAGAACATGTTCCAAATGCTGATTTTGGTTGAAATCGAGATCCAAGAATACTGTTTTCTCGGAATACACAGCATTTACAGAGCTAACGCTTCATCAGGTTAGTTGTTAAGCACCCTGTCTTTAGATTTTGAGGACTTTTGTTGCTTCAAACGAAACCAATGCACAAACGACAAATGATCTACTCTACCTTTAAGATTCAGATGGGAGCTTAACCCTAACTCCCTAGGCCTAGCATGATTTACTAGGAACCACACCCATCCTGGCAAATTCTAACACCATTATGGGAAACTGCACACACACATTTCTGACTTTGATTCTGGAGGTGTGCCAACCCAATGTAAAAGGCTGTCAGTTTAGGGGTACTGTACCCATCCTGACAGATTCCAACAAAACATGCCATTGGGGTTTGATGGGTTGTGCTCTGTTAGGGTTAATGGATCCCAAAGCCTTTCCCCGTGTATATCGGCTGTTTTCGATCTGGGATTGCCAAACTATTCCCCATTAACAAACTTCAGCTGTTGTTTTTAACAGGCAAGGTTCATATCAGAACTTTCCTAGTTGTTGAGATGCTTGTTTAAAACAGCATGGGAATTTGAGGGCCATGCTGAGAGTGAGACACATTAATGACAAGGGAAAGCTGAGAAGAAAAAGGGGAAGAGTAGGGGGAGGGGTAGGGAGAGGGGCGAGTAGGCACATGCATAGAAAGGCGAGAAATGGGATCGGGATGGGTGGAATCCAGGGAAGGATTGGTGTTTTTATTTTTTAAGGTACAGAAACAGGAGCAAAGTAAATCACCACTTCTTTTTCTCTGTCTGCGCTTTGGTGTAATCACATTTCAAATACATGTAGTACCACTCAAATAAGTGTTTCTTGTGAAATGCTTAAACCTTACTCCCATCATATGGGATGGGATATTATATAACGTCTGAATAAATCCCTGTCATCTGATTGGCAGGTCTTTAACCACATGTCACTGAAATATTGGTCCCAACGCACGATGCGGTCGCACCGCAAAAATAGAAGTTCCAGTCCACGGTAAATATCTGATAGCTCTGATGCTGTACATTCATAGCACCTGTTTACAAGTTACCAATCAGATGATGAGGATCTGTTCAGGCATTGTATAAAACGCATAATGAATTTTCACATTCGTGCAATGGAAATAATTCTTTCATTCAGTGACAGATGGAATGTTCCATTCCACTCGGCTTCGCATCGCATCGACATTCCATCTTACACCTCATGAAAATATTCTTACCATTGCACTCATAAACATTCATTATTCATATACTGAAGCATTTATGGTTGTAAGGGTTGAATGTGATTCTCACTACTGTAGCAATTTTGAAAAATGAAAACTCAAATCCTCCAAATACTTACATCGACTTCCTGTTTATGGAGTGTACCGTTGAGACTATTCTCTGCGTTGTCCATCGAACCATCCGAACCTTTGTGAAGCTTTCCTGGGTGACAGGCAACAATTTTTTTTTGTTTTTAATTGTAGGATGAAATATCTAAGGATTTGTAACCCTAGCTGTGCACAGTAAGATGATATCAAATTCGTTCTTAAATGCTATTATATTTTGAGAAGGTTACATTGACATGTTTATAAAACTTGAACATTATAAATTTAGACATTGGCAGAAAAAAAAAAGAAGCAGGACCAGAAAGTAACTACTAACATTTAGCAATTCTTACCTCTTTTCCGTTTTTCTTGACCAAACCCGTTTGCAGCAAGGAACCGGGTTGCTGACTGCCGGCTCTGTTGTGACCACAAAAACAAGGGATTCAACAGTTATGGAGTGTCATGGCTTAGCGGTTAGGAACACCGGACTTATGATCTGGTGTTTCAGAGGCAACAGTGGCGTGGGTTCCAGCCCGCCGGGTGGACACTTGTGCCCTTGAGCAAGGCACTTAACCATTATTGCTTCGTCCTTCGGATGGGACGTAAAGCCGTAGGTCCCATGTGTTGTGTAATGCAATGCACGTAAAAGAACCCAGTGACACTTATCGCTAAGAGAAGGGGTTTGCCCCAGTGTTTCTGGTCTCTTGTATAAACTCAAACGCGGAGTATTTAGGAGATGAACCAACCAAGAACCAAGAAGTTAAGAGTCACTAAGGAAGTACGTGAAGACTTCATATGTGTTGTGTTTAATGTAAGGATACTATCTGCATTAAAGACCATCTCGATTATTACAAGTTGTATCACTCCAATCCAGGACTCGGACTTGAGTCCATCTCAAGTCGCTATTTCGGTGACTCTGACTTGACCTCCACTATCTTGGCTACGACTTGTCATTGAGAACTCCTATTCTTAATACTAGCAGTTTCTTTTTTGTTGTAAGTATTAACAACAAATTCTTGTGTTTCTTTTTTGTTTGTTATAGCGAGAAATATCACTTGTATGTAACTACCTGAAGTGCAGGTAATGTTCAACAATGGTGGTGTAAAGAAGGAATTCCCAAATTATTGTGCGGTCCTGGTCACTGATTTCCAGGATAATACACAAATGCATGTGTATCCCTTCTATTCAAACATGTGACTCAGGGAGTAAGATGCGAACAAGTTGACGGCTTGAGCTCAGACTCGAACCAAATGTCTCAAGACTTGAACTTCAACAAAGAGGCCCGAGACTGCAGTTGGAATACAATTTGAGAGCCAGTTGCCCACCTCCATTTCTTGTCTGTCGTAGTTGGAGAACTGAGGGTTGGCTGTGCTCCGTCTTTTCCTTTCGGACCTTTTACACTTGAGCTGCTCTGCTGTCTTTTGAGTAATCAGCCCTAGCGAAGCCATAAATTCTAGTTTCTGTCGAGAAAGAAAGAAATTGAAACGCATAAATTGGTTAGTTAATTGAACAGTGGGCTTCTGAAACTACAATAGGTCTCTCTCAAATGACGTCACTTCCTACAGATTGCCATGTGCATCGGTATTTTGGGCGTCAAATTTACGTAACGCGCATCGGCTGCGCAGTATTTCGAAGAAATTTTGAGCAACACGCACGTGTTTAGAACATTTTGCACACTGCGCGCACACGCACCTGATGGCGTTGAACACGCAGTTGTAATTTGCTACGGAGATGGTGTCCTATGAGAGAGATCTATTCCAGAAAAGGAATAGGAAAAAAAGGCATACAAACATTGGATTATTATCGCATTCCGACAACATGTAGTTTGTCTCAACTGGGATACTTTTAATCTAATCAGGTAAAATGGAGCATGTGGAAACATGTAATAAGAAATACAGGATTACCATAAACGTTTGAAAATGTCCAAGCCATCTCTCGTAAATAGATATTTCAATGGAATGTCAACCTTGGCATGTAGCATGCCAAGTAGCTTTACTATGTCCCTAAGCAATATACTTTATCACAATACCCATGTCATAACGTCTGCCTATGAACGGTAACCTGCAAAATACAATGTACTACATAAAATACCAGATGAGTGGTTGTGTACCAGTGAGAGAAGTGATTTACCTGTTCCTCTGGAGAAAGGGGCTTTTTGCTTGCATTGTTCTTAGCACCACCTTGGTTGGACATGGAGGGCCTTGGTAAGGCAGTAAGCTTCTTGTACAGGTTACTGGGGCTGCTAGGTTCCTATATGAAAACAAAAAGACACATGACAAGTTGGTCTTACAGCCACTTCAGACTGGTGTTCCAGGGTTGCATCAATCCAAAATTGTTCCAAGGATTTAAATTAAGTTCGATATTTGAAACAGTTACGAGCCACTACACACAGAATTAATTGAAAGATCAACTGTCAGATTCCAGAGTAGATTTTGGATGAGCTGAAGGATTTAAAGAGGTTGTGGAATGCTCGAAGACATTTCCGTCATTTTTCGAGTAAATGTAGCCTAAGGTGTGATGAAATAAAAACGACTATTGTTTCTGTCATAAAATGAGTACAAAAGGTACTTTTGAGAGCTGTTTTTCAAGTCCTGTCATGCCTGTTTCGACCCGAACGTGCAATTTGTGTAAAAGTCGTCGTTGCGGGCAGCAAACAAAACACAGTAAATCGTGACGTAATAAACAGGACTCCCGATGCAGAGTAGCATAAATGAGTCCTGTTTATTACGTCACGATTTACTGTGTTTTGTTTGCTGCCCGCAACGACGACTTTTACACAAATTGCGCATTCGGGTCGAAACAGGACCTGAAAAATAGCTCTCAAAAGTACCCTTTGTACTCATGTCATGACAGAAACAATAGTCATTTTTATTTCATCACACCTTAGGCTACATATATCAAAAAAATGACGGAAATGTCTTCGCACGCGAACGCGACACCACCGCTTCTAATTCTGGTCACCGGACTCCACTATAGACAAATCCAGCGGTAGCCAGTTTCTGCGGTTGGTACCAGGTTCATGCGAGTCGCGCTCAGGTAATGCACATGCACTCCGGGCTCCTTCGACCAATAGGAAAACCAAAATGCGTGTGCACCTCATCTTTAAGAACGCATGCAGCATATGCGTGAGCATGACACCACCGCACAAGCTTCTAATTCCGGTCGCCGGATTCCACTATACTTCGCTTTTGCCAGATATATTTTGATAATTTGGGCGTTTTGCAATGCACCGCGGCACCAAGAGTTAGCCACGGGGAGTTAATTTTTCCCAGTGCATTGTGGGAGATGGTTGACAAATTCGAAGCAGGGGACATTTGGGATTGTTAGTTTTTCGGGTCATTAGTTTCGTCAGCGTTTGATTCGAGTATAATGTTTGCCCTTTTCTTTTCTGTTTATCAATATGGTGTTTTTTTTAAGGTGGCAGAACGCTATGCCCCAGCCTATAAATAATTAGCTCAAGTTGTCTACTGACACTCATTCAACTTAAAAAAAACCAGACTCTTCATGGCAAACTCTTGGTGGCGCAGTGCATTGTGAATCGCCCGAATTAGCATGCATCAGGCCATGTTGTTTGTGGGATGCTCACCTTTGGTAGTGATTGACCCGTAGGTGCGTGCTTGCTCTGCGCCAAACGGCTCGCTACATTAGGCACCTTGATGGTCACCATGGTGGGCTTGTTGGTCAAGATGGACATCCGGGTTGGTGTGGTTGGGGACTGGTGCTGGTGGTGCTGGGAGGACCCACGCTGTGCCCCTGGGGGCGTCTTAGTGACCGCGGTTGGGGGCACGACGCGGTTTGGGATGTTGAGATTCTGGGATGTGGTGAGAGGGGTGGATGTCACCTGCAAATGGCAAAATGAGACTTGACATAATCAACAAGCTGGATTCATTTCATAGCAAGGTTCCAGTTCCCCGACAATCCCAAACCAGTATTGTAGTCGAGTCCATCACAAGTCCTTTCATAAGTCCAGTCACAAGTAAGGGGTGAACAATGATGAAAGAATGCTCTTGTTACAGTTATTTGAATACCTAGTGACTTGACTTGAGACTGGAGGACTTGTGATGGACTTGTGATGGACTTGAAATAGACTTGTGGTGGACTTGTGATGGACCTGTGATGGACTTGTGATGGACTCGACTACAACACTGTCCCAAACACTTGATTTTCTACTACCCGTTTTTTTTTTTACTACATGTAACAAAACATCTGGTCCATCTCACAGAAATTGTAAGTAGCACACCAATAGAATGGTCCTAGAGTCACGTCTATACAGTGGAACGTCGCTATACCGAACACCGCTATACCAAACATTCGGCTATACCGAACATCGTCCTTGGCTCCCGATTGTTGTGTACAAAACGTACCAAGCATTGTTCTGAAAAATGTCAACAGACGAGAGTCAAGTGGCTATTTTTTCCCCAAGGAGTAGAAGGGGAAGGCCTCACATTGCTGTAGGTAGTAAACTAAAAAAATAACTGTGTAATTACATTAGTCAATAGTCGGTACGTGTTCAAAGTCATCTTTCAGTAACTACCAGGGCGTGCAGGGTGAAGTTCTGAAGGGCACTATTTATTGAAAGTGAGTACTGGAGCACTGGCAGCTTAAAATCGCTTTAACGAATGATCGCTATTACAAACAATTTCTGTGGATCCAGCGAAGTTCATTATATCAGCGTTCCACTGTAGTTACGTCACAAAAGTGCTACTCGTGCATGCATTTGGTGCACAGACATAATTGATTGCCACTCCAAATGTGCGATCACAAAATTACGTCTGGATGTGATATGATGGATTTTTTTTTGCCCCAGCCAAACAGCATCAAAAGTGTAGTCAACCAACATGACCAAAGCACATAGTAGTCAAACAGATTATTACAATTAAAGTATGCTTTTAAAAGGAAGTCAATGTTTTTTTGGCATCACCGACCTGCTCATTTTTTGCTGGCACTTCTTTTTGTATACCAAGATCAGATCGTAGCTGCTCCACAACTTTTTTCTGAGGGTGCAACGTAACCAAAAAAAAAAAAAAAAAAAAAATTACAAATGTAATTACTATGCACTCACTGGAACTGTTTTTAATTTATGTTAATGTGGCTATCGTGGGATTTGACCTCATGCAAAGTCATGATCGGATTAGCATTTTTAAAGCACGACACAACATTTGCATATCAATTACCATAAATCCGTAAGCGTATCAATCTTTAAACATTAACAGTGGACTCGGATGAGTCTTTTACAAGTTTTTACATTTCATGACAACATGAAATGCATCTACATGTACCGGTACCTTGTTTCAAAATTCCTTATTAAATAAATTTGAAGAATATTTTATTGAATACTCCAGTAAATACCCCTTCCATCAGCTGGGCAATTAAATCCATAAAAATTGGACCCATAATAAAAACTTTAGATTTGGGTATACATGCATAACATTAACAGTGGACTCGGATGAGTCTTTTACAAGTTTTTACATTTCATGACAACATGAAATGCATCTACATGTACCGGTACCTTGTTTCAAAATTCCTTATTAAATAAATTTGAAGAATATTTTATTGAATACTCCAGTAAATACCCCTTCCATCAGCTGGGCAATTAAATCCATAAAAATTGGACCCATAATAAAAACTTTAGATTTGGGTATACATGCATACCGGTGCATACGTACATGTACGTATGTTTGCACAACCACGTCCAGCAACTCAACAGATATACATTTCTGAATAAATTATGCGCAGCAACTCAAAAACACAAACAAACTTACGGGTATCCCATTTCAACAGATAATTCAACCAATTCCAGCAGGGTCTCTCAGCATGACCTCCACAGAGATATTAAAATTTCATGGTTTAAAGGAGACTGTTTTTGGTTAATAACACAAGCCTTGACCTTGTGAGAGAATTGTATGCAATACAGATGGTAATGCACAGTACAGTCTACAACTTGTATTGTGTGAGTACAAACGTACATGCACAGAGGAAGGCAAGCAGCATACTGTGTAGTGCATACACTGTATTGACGTGCACTACATATGTGCTGTATACATACATGTACATGTAGTTGGCTTGGTATTCATAAATTAATATGTCCACAGCAAAGTTCTATGTACAATTTGAAGTGTACAATATTCAATGCAGGCCTTTTGTATGGGTGTACAGTCCCACTTCTAGTATTCAAGCACACAGACTACATGTAAAATGTGTATCGGCCAACAGGTTATTATAAGCTATGTGTACATAGTGTGTACATTCATTGAAAACTGCGGACCACTCATCTGTACTCTTAGTCATAAATTATGCAGGAATCAAAATTGTACACATTAACTGAAAACATTTACTGAAGTGCATGTAGTGGTGCAATAGAGAAGGTGTATTGTAAATGTTCACATAAATTTATCAAATTCTTGGTATTTTGGAGAAAAAAAAATTTGAAAATAGACATTAACAATGCTAGACTTGGTGGAATTGTATGCACACACCCACATCCAAAGCCTTATTTATTTATTTTATTCACTTTAATAAATAAAAAGAAGTTTGAAATTCTACTGTATTCTTAAATGAGTTGGTGATCTAACGGCGCTGAGAAAGTATTCATTCAATTTTGTATGATTATTTACAAGTTTAAGGTACATGTAGAGTAGCTCATTTGCAGCTATCCAAAAAGTAACTGACAAAATTTCACAGAGCTAAAACTTCATCAGGCTAGTTGTTATTATGTATTTTTAAGCACCCGCAACTTTTGTTGCTTCAAACAAAACAGATGCACAAATGTCATTTATTTTATATAAAAAAAAAAGAATACAAAAAATCTACCAAAAATACAAGTTTTCACAAAAATAAAATCTTCACATTCATGGGGGCTGTGGGCAGTTCCTTATTGGGTTTAAAAATCACATTAGGAATCACAACACTTTATTAAAAAAAGACTAATACAAAAGTGAGATAGGCCCATCTTCATCACAACGTTTGTTGACCTTTTGTACGGTGCTTCAAATTGCCTTTTTTCTTTTTCAGTAGCCATATTGGTAAAAGGCCACAGTATACCCAAACCCATTAAAGTAATGGAAAGCAGGCAAACGTGAAATTTCACTTTAAAAACAAGTGCCAGCTAGTCCCGTCATGCGTAACTTACGTATCAAATTTCGGGGAAAATGAAAAGACATACGTTCACTAGGAAAAATATGCCTTTGCACAATTTTATGCCAGATAATGATTTTTATCATTTTATAGATTGAAAAAACAACAAACTTGAGGAATTTGCCAGTCAAATTTTTTTCTTGATGAGTAACCCCTCTGGCATTAATTTCAATGCAGTGATTTCCTTCAATATGTTTCAATTTCACTCTAAAACTACATCGAAAGTTAGTTTAATGTTCACTATGTATAAGTAATATTTTATTCAGACACAGCAATAGGAAGATAACAAAACATACTTAATTGCACGTTTTGTTATAGGCAGTTGATATTTAAAAGGATCCGGCTTTCTTTTAGTAAATGATATTAAGCCGGAACGGCACTGGGCATGCGCAGTTACTGTTTTTTGGGGACTTAAAATTATACGACAAATTTTAGTCTGGTTCCACGCCAACATTGTCGTTGTGACTTCGTACCCACAAGATGGGAATCAGACCATTTACAGACCCTTTAAAAAGAATCCTCCAAAGGCAAAGCCAAGAATCAGCAAAAAGAAAGTGAAATACTCTGCAACTAAATGTAGGAGTCAATTTAAAATAATAAAAGAGGAATATATTCTTATTGTTTGTGATAAAAACAAAACACCGAAAATGTGGAACGAGCGTGACAAGGGTATCGAACCCGGGATCTCTCACTAAGACGCGCCATCCTTTCTGCTGCAGGAGCTGCTCAAACGATGGTGGTAATTTAATACCTTATAATGCAGGCCCACTCGCGTACATGTCAAAGAGGGTGCTGTAAGATCATTTACTAAAAACAAAAAGCCGAATCAATAAATACACTATCTATCATATTAAACATGTCATATAAAAACACACAAACACAAAGTACGTCGACACAAATAACACGAATGTACCTGTTTTTCACTCAACGTTGTTATTTTAGCTTGTTGGTCATGCAACTGCTTCTTTAGTTCTGTATTCTAAAAAAATAAAAATAAAATAACAACATGTTTTAAGTCCCGATGTGAAACTTCAAATATTCATTTGAAGAAAACATGGTAGGCCTAGAATAGCCTAAGTAAAAATGCCAATTTTGCATCTATACAAAATTCAAAAGATAACATGAAATTAAATGACTGATTGTTTATGCAAATTAGTTTAAAATGGCCACCACCACACAAACACACACACATTCGTGATTGGAGTTTTCCCTGTAGAATTAACTTTATAATTCGATGCTAAACAAAAGCAACACACTACTGTAAGAAATTGCGTGGCTTACCTGAGGGTCGTTCTTCATTTTTGCCACCAAAATCTGTAGGGAGAAAGCAAAATAGCTTCGCGGTGAAACAACAACAAAGTTCATTCCGCACGCACAAGAAAGACAGACAATGGAAACACTTACAACATACGTAGGCCTACGTTCCGAGACTAGACCCTCATCTTTCTCACAAGAAAAAAACCCACACAAACCGGTCTCGTCGTAAGGTCAACCTTTTTACACCCATTTCCCAATCACAACTGAATGCAGTCGATCCCTATTTGTGGACCAGTGGTACATCAATCACTTACTTCCGGGTGAAATTAGACAGCTGGCCGAGGGAAAAGAATGAGGGAAAACTGGGACGATAAAAACTTCCGAGAGACACACTTTTGGTGGTGATGATGCAGCACTGTGTTCGTGTGTAGTGAATCGTACACGCACTACGCGTATGGGCATTTAACACTGTCACAAGGGGTGCATATCTCCACTAAACTCGCCTGTTGTTTTTCCACTCCAAAAGACAAGCAACAACTCCCCAAAGACAGCAACCTCAGCCCGCCACAACTCACCTGATGGCTCTGTATCTCCTTTCTGAGCTGCATCTGCAGTTTCTCCAGTTCGGCGTTCGACATTTTGGTCAAAGTTTGGGCCCGGAAACAGGGCTAACCCGCGGCCTTTTCTCGGTCCCAAGCCCCAGATTTTTATTCATGCGATCGAACCGCCGTATACTTTGTACAGGACTATAATTGGGTTACCGTACGTAAACACGGTACATGTACATACACGCGCATTGCATATGGCGCGGAGTAATATCACACAAAAAATGACCCCAACATTTGACAAACTGCTCCAAACCATTCAAAATATAACCCTCTATTTTCAAAAAATTAAATAATCTCAAGAAATTCCACTCTAAAAATTTGATCTGGATAAACCAGTCCCAATATGGGAACTACATTAATCCGCTTTAGTGATCCTTTGTCCGTGAGAAGGCATTATATACTACATGTTACTTCACGAAGAGTTCCCGGATGTGCAATCTCAAGTTCTTCATTATAATTCCATGAAGTTGAGGAACAGGCCATAATTTTCTGAGGTCTGATTATAAAACAGTTTTTTCTTTGTTAAGGAATGGTTATTTCTAAACAAATGTCATTTGACAATAAGGCTATAAGATAAGCTTTTAAATGAAACCATCACACTCGATGATATTCAAAAATAACTTGCATACACAAATTTTGTAATGTTATGGTGTCCGCGGCATAAAAATGAGGAAAAAGTGTGACAAAGAAACCTACAGTTCAAAATTAACTCATTTTGAAAAGAAAACGAGTGGACAGGAGGTGAGGTTTAACACAAATTATAGCGAGAAGATGTACACTTTGTATTGAAAAAATTAAATATCAGATGTTAAAATGAATTGCCAAAATGGCATGCATAAAAGGTGGGTTGTGGATGTAACATAATGACGTCTCTTGTTTCATATTATGTTACATCCACAACTGGCTTGTGCAAAGTTTTCTGTTTGCAGCAATTTAGGTCGGATTGACCACAATATTTCATGATTGAGCTGGTATTTGTAAAATAATGTGATCGTAGTCTATGCAAATAAATGTTTTAATAATAATAATAACGGATAATTTATAAGGCGCACAGTATCTGGAGAACCACTCAAAGGCGCCGGTCACCCGGCAGTTTTGGCCAAATATGAAGAAAATATTATGCCTGTTGGCACATGGTGTCCGTGTTACATCCACAACCAATTGACATGGTCACGACTAAAATAAGTATGAAAATCATGACCTGCAATCTGCAACTTTGAAATAGAGATTTGGGGACAACATTTCCCAAACACAAACAACATTTAGTTCCATTTATATCAATGTGAAGAATACTGCATTGTGATGTTGTGGTGTCCGACATGTTACATCCACAACCATTTTGTTGTTGTTGTTGGAAAAAAACAATTTTAGCAGTCTTTAAAAGTATATAAGTATGAATATTATTAATGAAGCTATTTGATTATGAAATCAAGTGTGGTGTGAATTTGAAGCATTTTGAAGTGTTAATTATGAACAAAACAAGGTTTGGATGTAACAGGACGTGGCTTCCGGTTACATCCACAACTTATATTGTGTACTTAAATGTCATGTGACTAAAATTTGAATGAATTGTTAAACCGCAATGTATGGACTATCGCGGAATGACATTGGTCCATGCATGTTTATACATGTACTTGCTTGCACGAAAATGAACTCCCCAAACCGGGAGGTTTTTTTACAGTTTGCGTAAAAAATCTAATGTGATATGGGACAATTGTTTACACCTAAGAGACGTACGGCACCCGAGTCGAAATTAAGACAAGTGCGAGTGCACAAGCAAAATGGCCGTCTTGCATGAAAAAAAAAACAAGTATCAACTTGATGCCAAGCCCAGCAAAAGATCAAAAATGCGACGCCTCCCCCCCCCCCTCCCCGATGGCCGATTGCACATTATGGAACAACTTTAGATTTATACCTTGATATAATCGATTTGTGATAAATACCACGTGACTATATGCACTGTATGTATATACATGTATGTACCAGTGTTGTACGACTCAAGTCCAGGACTCGGCCTCGAGTCGGACTCGAGTCACATTTTTCGTGACATTGAAAAATGACTCGGACTCGACCACTGCCAATACATGTACTGCACTATTGAACAAAAATAAACAACTCGTTTTCCGATGAACAAATCAAGAAATACAAGATGTAACTATTAAACTGAATTTTCGTTGACGAAAGCAGTGATTTGTCATTATGTTTAACATTACGAAATTTAATTTCATAAGAAACCGTCAACCAATGAAGCTATATTGACCGTAACAATACAGTGTTTTAAGCGCGACAAATGCAATCCGAATGAAAGTAAAAGTGGATTTTTCGCGTGTAAAACACTATATTGTTACGACCATATCATTTTTATTGTCGGACTGTTTCTCGTGATGTTCAAAACACCTCTTACACACATCATGGAAAATCAGTCTTTGAAAATTCAGTTTAATACATCATGTATTTCTTGAGTTGTTCATCGGAAAACGAGTTGTTTATTTGTGTTCAATAGTGCAGCATCGGCTGGTCTCGCACTTTAATATTCTTTCAGTAGAGGCCGCGAAACATAAATAGTGGTCTCGAAAATTATCTACCACCAAACTCGTTCCGGGGGCAACAACTCCAGCAATACAAGATTTTTTAAATTGAATTTTCGTGTAGTGATTTCCGTCAACCAATGAAGCTATATTGACCGTAACAATACAGTGTTTTAAGCGCGACAAATGCAATCCGAATGAAAGTCAATGTGGATTTTTCGCGTGTTAAACACTAAATTGTTACGACCATATCATTTTTATTGTGAAACTGTTTCTCGTGATATTCAATACACCTCTTACACACATCATGGAAAATCAGTCTTTGAAAATTAAGTTGAATACATCATGTATTTCTTGAGTTGTTCATCGGAAAACGAGTTGTTTATTTGTGTTCAATAGTGCAGCATCGGCTGGTCTCGCACTTTAATACTCTTTCAGTAGAGGGCGCGCAACATAAATAGTGGTCTCGAAAATTATCTACCACCAAACTCGTTCCGGGGGCAACAACTCCAGAAATACAAGATGTATTAAATTGAATTTTCGAGTAGTGATTTGTCATTATGTTTAACATTACGAGATTTAATTTCATAAGAAACCGTCAACCAATGAAGCTATATTGACCGTAACAATACAGTGTTTTAAGCGCGACAAATGCAATCCGAATGAAAGTGATTTTTCGCGTGTAAAACACTAAATTGTTACGACCATATCATTTGTATTGTGGGACTGTTTCTCGTGATATTGGATACACCTCTTACACACATCATGGAAAATCAGTCTTTGAAAATTCAGTTTAATACATGATGCATTTCTTGAATTGTTCATCGGAAAACGAGTTGTTTATTTGTGTTCAACAGTGCAGCATCGGCTGGTCTCGCACTTTAATACTCTTTCAGTAGAGGGCGCGCAACATAAATAGTGGTCTCGAAAATTATCTACCACCAAACTCGTTCCGGGGGCAACAACTCCAGAAATACAAGATGTATTAAATTGAATTTTCGAGTAGTGATTTGTCATTATGTTTAACATTACGAAATTTAATTTCATAAGAAACCGTCAACCAATGCAGCTATATTGACCGTAACAATACAGTGTTTTAAGCGCGACAAGTGCAATCCAAATGAAAGTCAATGTGGATTTTTCGCGTGTAAAACACTAAATTGTTACGATCGTATCATTTTTATTGTCGGACTGTTTCTCGTGATATTCAATACACCTCTTACACACATAATGGAAAATCAGTCAACGAAAATTCAGTTTAATACATCTTGTATTTCTTGAGTTGTTCATCGCAAAACGAGTTGTTTATTTCTGTTCCATAGTGCAGCATCGGCTGGACTCGCACTTTAATATTCTTTCAGTAGAGGGCGCGCAACATAAATAGTGGTCTCGAAAATAATCTGCAACCAAACTCGTTTGGGGGGCAATAACTCTAAAAATACAGGATGTATTAAATTGAATTTTCGAGTAGTGATTTACCATTATGTTTAACATTACGAAATTTAATTGCATAAGAAACCGTCAATCAATGAAGCTATTGACGGTAACAATACAGTGTTTTAAGCGCGACAAATGCAATCCGAATGAAAATCAATGTGGATTTTTCGCATGTAAAACACTAAATTGTGACGATCATACGATCGGACTGTATTTCGTGATATTCAATACACCTCTTACACACATCATGGAAAATCAGTCAACGAAAATTTAGTTTAATACATCTTGTATTTCTGGAGTTGTTGCCCCCCAAACGAGTTTGGTGGTAAATAATTTTGGAGACCACTATTTATGTTGCGCGCCCTCTACTGAAAGAATGTTTAAGTGCGAGACCAGCCGATGCTGCACTATTGAACAAAAATGAACAACTCGTTTTCCGATGAACAACTCAAGAAATACATAATATGTTAAACTGAATTTTGAAAGACTGATTTTCCATGATGTGTGTAAAAGGTGTATTGAATATCACGAGAAACAGTCTGACAATAAAAATGATATGGCCGTAACAATGTATTGTTTTACACGCGAACAATCCACATTGACTTTCATACGGATTGCATTTGTCGCGCTTAAAACACTGTATTGTTACGGTCAATATAGCTTCATTGGTTGACGGTTTCTCATGAAATTAAATCTCGTAATGTTAACCATAATGGCAAATCACTACACGAAAATTCAATTGAATACATCTTGTATTTTTGGAGTTGTTGCCCCCGAAAACGAGTTTGGCGGTAGAGTATTTTCGAGACCACTATTTATGTTGCACGCCCTCTACTGAAAGAATATTAAAGTGCGAGACCAGCCGATGCTGCACTATTGAACAAAAATGAACAACTCGTTTTCCGATGGACAACTCAAGAAATACAAGATGTATTAAAATTGAATTTTG